TATAAGAAAAAAGGATGAACACGATCATCTTTGTCTTTGTCTTGAAAAGTGCCGGATTAAACCCGGGTCAGGACTTGAACACCTCTCATACACCCCTGGCTGTGAATAAAAACAAATGTTTTCGTTTAAACCAGTAGCCTCCATGCAGCAACATGAGAACCTGAGGCGTAAAACTGACGGATTTAGTGTGTTGTTAGTGAACCAGTGCACGGTGCCGTTTCTCTATGAGTCAGAGATCAACATGGTTATTATCCAGGCGAGCACCACTTCTCTCTTTTTGTCTCCACTCCCTGTGAAATCTAGCGGGGCGGTGGTGGTGGTGGTGGTGGTGGCAGCGGCGATGGTGGTGGTGGGAAGGGAAAAAGCTACAATGAGCTAACTAGCGCGCTAGCTGGCGGCTAACCCATATCTGTTTCGTGCATGAAAGCGACGTATGACTCAAAAAGCTCCCTACACAGGCACAGAAATGCAAAGCGAAACAAATGCGTGGTGAAAAGTGAGAGTGGAAAAGTTAGCGGCAGGTAAGTCGACTGACCTTTGCAGACAGTCCTGGCTCTGTGCAGCACAGGCGAACTTTCTGTCGACCCGGAAGATGTCTGCAGAAGCCGCTGGTGTTCAATATTGCTGGATCATATGAGAAGCATCAGAGGATATCCGATGACTTCTGATGTGCTGGCTGTGCCTGACCAACGGGACATGACAAAAGCCATTAAAAAAATGTGTGTATATAAATATATATATCGCTCAATGAAAGTTACATCAACATTTTGTTAATTGACAATAACATTATAACATTTATGTTCATATTTTATACACTCAACCGAATTGTCACTTAATTTCGGTACAAACTTGTGTTAAAAATCAGTTTGAAGCATATGCATAAGTAGATTTCTAAACAGAACTGCATACACATCCATGCACACTGATAAAGATGTTAATGATTTAGTACATTTATATATTGTACAACATTATATATACTTTATACAGTCTATGACTGTACTGTAGTAGGTTCAGAAATGGCGTCTCGAAAGTAAACCATACGGAAGATGCAGTTCTATATACTCCCACTGAGGGTCACCCGTTTACTATTTGTAATCCACCAACGTACTGTGGGATAATATCTATCTATCTATCTATCTATCTATCTATCTATCTATCTATCTATCTATCTATCTATCTATCTATCTATCTATCTATCTATCTGTCTGTCTGTCTGTCTGTCTGTCTGTCTGTCTGTCTGTCTGTCTGTCTGTCTGTCTGTCTGTCTGTCATATATCTATCTAAGTGTTTCGTTTTCTTTAAGACTTTAATACATATTGGTTAATTGTACACAAAATGATTTGGTTTAGTCGCATCATTGTTTGCGTTGAAAAACCATTAATATATATTCACAACAAGGAGTGTAGTGCTATTTTTTAAGTAGCAGAGCGCACCTATGACTTGTAAGTTTCTAATTTTCTAAGGTTTTCTAAGTTTACATACATTAGTCAACTATAATTGATTCCATGATCAAATAATTTACAAATAATTAATAAAGTCATCATGTTGCAACTCATTTATTTACAAAAAGAACAGATTGCAGTAATACTGCCATAAAGGATTATGTCTATAGTGTCTCAATATCTTATAAGTCAAATGACTATTAAATGACAGACTGGAGCCAATAGTTAAGCCATTTTGATGGTTTGCTCATAAGAGCAAAGGACTAAGACATAAACAATGCTGCCTCCCCCTGCCAGCTAGCTTGCAGCCCAGCACCAGGCCGGTAGCTAACACTACTTCCCTTATGGAACTAAGCTTAAGAGTTAGAGCAGCAGTTCAGCCTAAAGCCATTTGTTCAAGAGGAGCTAAAGGTTTTAAATGAAAGGAAATGGCAGCAACCATAAATAAACCTGACAGCTTAACAGACAGCGCAGTCTGAAAAAGTTTACACCAGTTCAAAAGATGTGAATCTGAGTCAAATGTGCCCACCAGTGAGTGAACCCTGACAACTGTCTGCCAGGAAAACATACTTATCCCTCCTACAACCACATGTGTCTTGTATAGAAAATAGAATAAACGTGAATTAGATTTTATAACTAAATGAATGACTCGAGTACTTGACTTGAAATACAAAGAAATACGAAGCAAAACATGAGGAGAACATGAGGAGTCAAGAGCAGCATTTGATGAGAATCAGAATACAAAGTGGGTTCTAATAAAGTTTATACAAGAATGGGATTTGATTCATGATCCTACAATTTACTGCTTTTTAATGTAAATGCAGGGTCTCTCACCATAAGTCCAATGTTTTATGGCCTTTGATATATAAACATCTTTGCAGTTTGCAGCCATAAAATACTTGACAATAACTTGGATCCCTTACTTCTAATTACTTCCCTTATGGAAGTAATATTAGGTCAGAATACCAGTGAAGTATGATATGAGGTAACTGAAGTGAAGTCTGTTCCCTCCACCCTATTCCCAAGATGTGTTTGCAGAACTATGACAGCACGTGCATGTTGCCTCATTCCTCCAGTGATGTGATGATGTCCTATGAATTTAGTGCTTTGAGGGAGAAATTGCATCTGTGCTTCTGTGCTAATAAAGACACATGGAAGGTCGATGGGTTTCCTGTTCATGAAAAACGAAAACTGGGACACAACCTGTTTTGACACGTGTACAAGGAAACAACAGCAATAACTGCTTTGTCTGTCTTTGTTTATCTCATATTCAGCATATCTATTCACTCTGCACTAGCACGTGCTTTCACTTACAGTATTGTATATATTGTATACAGTAGATATACTCTCTCTCACACACTGATCATCTGTTTCTCTTTATCAGGCTCAGAGAGTGGAATGCATTGTCGCTACGCCTGGTTCTCATTGAAGCGTTTCACCCTAAAGATAGTTCTTTTAATTGAATTGGCTTTGCTTGCACTTCTTTGATTTTCTTTTTTCCCTGATATTCTCTTTCCATTTCTTCTTCTTCTTCACTGACAATAAAGCTCTGAATTTAACCGACACATATGTAGTTCTAAGGTCAGGATGCATGCAGAGGAATACTTCTGCCTTTATTGCCCATTAAAAATCACTCTTTTCAGTTAATTTTAAGTAACTATATGCTGTATCTTGCTGTGTGTAGCACATGTTTACGATGTTATCAGATGTTGCATATCCACCTTTCATTCTCAAAACTATCCTCCTCCTCTTCCAGGCCATGTTTGTTTTCCATGTTACTGTTTGGAAAATGAAGGACTGTGAATGACAATGAGGAATATTAATTTTAAATCTGCCACCAGAATGCAACCTAATTTTATGGACACCTGATTTTTATGACACAGTAAAAACAAGAGAGCCTATCTTAAACGTGGATTCATTAACCCTCTATTATATCACACACAAAACATCTTTTCATTTGATCCAAGTTCTTGTCAAGTATTTTATGGCTGCAAACTGCAAAGATGTTTATATATCAAAGGACATAAAACATTGGACTTATGGTGAGAGATCCTGCGTTTACATCAAAAAGCAGTAAACTGTAGGATCATGAATCAAATCCCATTCTTGTATAAATTTTTATTAGAACCCACTTTGTAATCTGATTCTCAATAAATGCTGCTCTTGACTCCTCATGTTCTCCTCATGTTTTGCTTCGTATTACTTTGTGTTTCAAGTCAAGTGCTCAAGTCATTCATTTAATTATAAAATCTAATTCACGTTTATACTATTTTATTGTGAATTGAATTCAACTGAATTCAAGGTGCAATGTAAATATATGACACGTGGTTGTAGGAGTCTTCCTGGCAGACAGTTGTCAGGGTTCACTCACTGGTGGGCACATTTGACTCAGATTCACATCTTTTGAACTGGTGTAAACTTTTTCAGACTGCGCTGTCTGTTAAGCTGTCAGGTTTATTTATGGTTGCTGCCATTTCCTTTCATTTAAAACCTTTAGCTCCTCTTGAACAAATGGCTTTAGGCTGAACCGCTGCTCTAACTTTAAGCTTCCACTTTTATTCCCTTATTCTCACTTTTTTTTGACTACTTTTTTTCCCTCCATGTCTGCAGCACCCTGCAGTATATTATAACTCATTTTACTCAGGACATTGCCAGCCCCTGATGGACAGTGACAGATTTTAAAATCAAAATGATCAAATCTAGTGTAATAATGCAAGTAATTCTATATTTTATTGATCTTTGCAGAGCTATTATCTCTTCACTCCCCTGACACTGGTGAGGTCAGAGCTCTGGGTCAGCTTCACCCAAGAGGCAGGTAGGGATTCAGCCTCTTGATCAAAGACAGAGCAGGGCAGTTGCCCTCACTCTGCCCCTACTACCCTGCTAATGTTATGCAACAATGAGGGTGATTCTGAATGTGTGTACGCATATGAACCTGTATGGGAGTATATATGTGAGTGATTGTTTTTCTGCTGATAATGGACAGCAAAACAGACAGCTGTGGAACAAAACAGTGCCACACACAGAAAATATGTGTGTGTGTGTGTGTGTGTGTGTGTATGTGTTTGTGTGTGTGTGTGTGTGTGTGTGTGAGAGAGAGAGAAAGAGAGGGACATGGAGAGAGAGAGAGATTTTTGAGCAAGAAAATGCTTTGAAGTCACAGAAAATTCCAGGAGTTTCCTGTTAACAAGCCTGGGGTATAATGTGAACCAGGAGTGTGTGTCTGTGTGCAAGCAGAGCAAAGTCTCCCCAGTCAGTCTCTCGCTGCTGGTGAGAGGGGTTACCATCACTCCTCTCTTTGCTATACTTTTATCTTTGAGATTCATTCCTGATTCGGTCCACCTGTTTTTTTTGTTTTTTTTTTACAGAATGCATCAGCCTTCAGTGGAGTTTTGAATTTGCATTCAAAGTATGGAAGTTTCTCAGCTGGGGAGTTTTTAACTCTTTTAAACAGCTGGTGGATCCATCTTGCCTGTTTCAGATGCAACATTGCTGCCTATGACACAGCACTACACAAATGTGTGGAGGATTTGTGTGATGCTAACCAGTTCCAGCTGATATATAAACAAACCGTGTCAAGCCGTGTCAGTAAGGATGTGTAATTTCTATACCTCACACTCACATCTGTTGTTGTTTGTTGCCTTGTGGAGCCTCAGCTATCTGAGTTTTCTTGCCGCCTGGCCGGGCATCGGGCGTAACAAGCCCAAGGATCAGTTGGACCCTAATGTAAAGGACTGGGGAGACTATTCAGACCTCCCTCCAGGAATCGAGCAGGGACTGGGGTTGGATGAAAATGGAGAACATGGAGACAACAGAGGACTCGTGGGGTCATCATCAAGCCTGGCTCCGGAGCTGGATTTCCTGGCTGAATTTGCAGGCAAGAGAAATAAACTGATCAGCTGATGCATGTATTTGTCTGTCTGGCTACTTACAGTAACTACACCCCCCTTCTCCGCTCTAGGTAAAAAGCGGCTGTGGGTGATAACAGCCTCATCACACAATGACCACTATCTGCGTATGATGGAGAATCAGCTGGAAGACATGGAGCAGGTACTGCACTTACTCATTTAGTCTTTACACACATACACCATATTGATTTAGAATCTGATGTTTTATTTAATTTGGGAAAATAACACATCGGAATTTCACTCAAAATAGTTTTTGTCCTATGTTTTCTGTAACTCTCTTTCTTTTTCTTTCTCCTTTTGGTCTCCCAGAAAGGGCTGCACTGCCGTCTAGCAGAAAGAGACACATTCATCATCACCATCATCCAGAACGCCATGATGGAAGGTCGGATCCAGAAAACAACTTTCCAAGGTGAAGCAACAGTAGAGAGTCTGGACCCGGACACAGTTACCAAACTGCTGCACTACCTGGATCTTACCAGCCAGGTAACCAGTATGCCTCTAAAGTATATATATATATATATATATCTTAAAAGTACATATCTTACAAGGTATAAATAATTCACTGCCTTTTGAGATTGTTTAAAGAAGAAGAATGCGTTTCTTCCATTGTGATTTACCTGCTCTTGACTTGTGCTTTCCATTCAACAACAATTGTTTCAGGAGCAAGGGTTCACCATGCTGGTTCTGAAGAAGAACCTACGGGTCAGTGAGCGGTTCCCCTATCCGGTCCGCGTTGAGGCCATTTTGGAGCTCATAGATCAGTTCCCCATGAGGAAGCTGGAGAAAATGACAAGAAAAGGATCCAACTTGAGGTTCCATTATACCACTATGCTCTTAGCTGTACTAATAGAGAACTAACGAGTGCTTTTATAAGGTCATTCAGTCCACTTTACATCTACTTACTAAATAAATGTAAAACAATATGAAAAAAGTGAGCAAAACCATAAACATGTCCAAGCTTGGAAAATATGAGTTTTGGACAATCCTTCTTCCATTTCTAAGAGCTGTTGTTAGTGATTCTTGTTAAGCTGCTCATAATATTTAGCATTTAGCTTCATCATGTGCAAAGAAAAATGTTCTGTTCTGTCACATCTACCATCTAAGATGTTAATGTGCGTTATCCAAGTGACCCTGCACTACGATGTGAATTAATGGTTTCTTTATGACAATTTAGATCAAGGTATTTTTTTTTCTTTTTAATTCAGGTGTAAAACCACTAAAAAGAAGGTTGTGGTGAAAAGGAAAAAGATGAAGAAGACGATGGTGCTGAGCCCTCAGAGGCGAGCAAATGTGACTTCTGTGGTGGCATTACAAAGAAAACCTCCTCTGGACAAAAAAGCTGCCTTGAAGAGTAAGGTCCAGGACATACTGAGTGGACGGTCGAGGTTTGTTATTCGCAAGGTGCCTGCTGTGGGGCCCACGGGGGGAAAAGACTCGAGCAGCGGCGGTCAGGTGACTTCTAACAGACAGGAAAAAGAGAAAGCGCACAGTTCTCCACCTGTGTCAAGGAGCAACAAACAAGTAAAGAAACACAGGTGCCGTCTTTCCTTTTTTTTTTTGTTTTTGTCAAAACATAAAGGGAAGAGCGTGAATGTTTTGATTGATTTAACTGAAAATGTGCTTAGATTTTGTATTCCCATCTGGTACGTCATGCCTCCTCATCCCTCCACGCCAGACAGACAGTGCTGGATGAACATCAAAGTAAACATTTTGTATTGCATTGCAGGCCTGACTCCGCTGTGGAAGAAGGAAAGAAAAGACATGGAGGGAAAACAAGTGAGGATACCACAGAGAAGAATGTAAAGGACGACACACAGGAGAAACAGAGCTCTAAGAAAAAGGGCAAAGGGAAAAAAGGAAAGAAAGGAAAAGGAAGAGGGAAAAAGTCCAACAGAGAGGCCAGCGAGAAGGATAAAACAGCCTTGAAGGAGCTTTTGGACAATTTAAAGGGAACAAGAAGATTGATGGTGAGAACTTTCTCTCTCTTTTTCCTCCTGTCTATTGATTTACAGTGGCATCCACATTCCAAATGCGTGCAAAACACTGAACTTTGAAGATATATCCGTACATAATCAGCGCCTTCCCACTACCACGTCTGATTGAAGTGTATGTTTGTGTGTCGTCCTGGTACTAGCTGATCTCGACGCCCAGCAGAGACGCATCACTTTACATCCAGCAGAAAGAAGAGAACGAGAAGCATCACTGTGACCTCGCAATCAGGAAGATCACTGTGGCAACCATTGTGGAAGGCAGTGACGCCACGCTCACGCTGCAACACCACCAGCTCGGTAGGAAGTGTTTGTACATTTGTGTGTGTGTGTGAATGATGTTGTATGTTTGAACATTTGCATCTAAAACATTTGGTTAGGTTCTCTCTAGGGGTGATTCAAGTAATCAGAAAATGTCATGCAGATGTTATCAAAGGAACGCACTGTACTTTTTACTAAGGCAAATGTGGCTTCCATGGTTCCATTGTACAGCAGTCTGGAAATTAATTTCTTCACTCCTGCATTTGTTGTAGCAAGGGTCATACTGGTGTGTTTCATGCTTCATCCTCTTTACTTCAATTCTTTTGAAAAAAATCTGCTGCACACTGCTCTCTAACTGCCAACATTTGTTGTTGTGCTGTGTTTATATGTGGTGGGTACTTCTGACTTCCAAGACATTTGCTAATTTGCAACAAAACACAAACTACAACTGTGACCCATGGGGATGTAAACTGTTTTTGGAAGAGGAAAAGTCAGGGACCACCAAGGCCCTTACAATTCATCCTGAAGGTACACATAAATGTGTGAATCGAATTTTATGGCAATCCGTCCAATAGCTGTCAAGACATTTTGCTCAAAAACCACAAATGTCAACCTCATGTTGGCGCTAGAGGAGTAGTCAGAGGATCACCAAATTCATTAGCATTATCTGGGACCCATGAATGTGTAAAAGGTCATCATAATCTATCCAGTCATTGTTGAGATATACACCAAAGTGGCAGACTGACAGTAGTAAGCTGAGACAGACAGACAGCAAGAAGGATATTTTGGGTATCATAGTTAGTCTTGCTGTGATTGTACTGGGTTCCATTTGTTCCTGTCATTGTGTCCGCTCCCTCCACTGTAGGTCTATATGTACACACGTTCATTTATATATTAATATGTATGTGTGTGTGTGTGTTTTAGAATCAGAGCGTCCACTCAGTGACCTATCAGAGCAGTTCTTGGATTCAGGCCTGACCTCCCTGTTGAGAGCAGAGCTCGGCCTCTCGTCCTCTGACCTCTTTTCCATGACAGTCACAGACTACGACATCAAGCCCAATGTGAGAACCTTTTTTTTCCCCCATTGTTTTCTGCTTTTTCTGTCCTTTTACTTGAATACAGGTGAGAATTTATGCTCCTTTTCAGCACCACTTTTACACAAGCTCACACCTGGAAGCTGTATAGTTTTATAGATGCAGGATTGTCACCTCCTCTGCCAAGACTGTTCAAACCATTCTTTCACACGCTTAAACTCCAAGGTCCATCCTTGAATTATTTTTGAAATTGTTTAAGAATCCAGCATCATTCAATTGAAAAATTGAAAGATCGTATTTCCTTTTTTACTCATCTCATTGTCCACATTTCTAAATCCAGCAAGGTGATAGGAGTTCAGTGTGTCTTTTCTCCCTCTTATGATTCCTATATCACTCTTTAAATTGTCTAACTAGCTTTTATCTTTCCCCAGAGAGTCTTTGAAGCTCCACCATCAAGCACTGCTCTGTTTGAGTACATTGACAACTTTCCCTCAAGGCGCTCAGAAAAAGAAAAAGAGAGGAAGAGTCCTCCGGTCTGCTCCAAGGACAAGCAGCCTGGAGCTGAGAATTCCCTGCTTAGGTAAAGTATTGTAATTCAGTGCTCATTATTATCTTGTATCCTTGAGGCAACAATGTCTGGAGCCTTTTTTGCTACTATGAAATCCAAATTAGTACTCTTAAAAAAAAGACTGATGCTTAGGATATATTTATATGTGCATGCTATCATCACAAAAATGTGCCTCAAAAAGCCTTTCAATAAAAAAATAGAGTACATGAGATTCAAAATTGCCTCTAGGTGAGTCTGAATTCTTGAATGTTATTGGTCTCCTATGTAGTGAGACATGTCAGACGTAGGTTTGACTGACCTACACCACAATTTTCAAACCTGACTGACTATTTTTATGGACGTTAAGGTTCATGTCTAAGAGGAGACTGTTGCTCATCTCTGCTCCCTCTGAGGATGACTACTCTTTCCAACAGCAGCTCTCTGCTCTCAGTGGACAGGAGTGTCACCTGGGTCAGTAACACACCACACGAACAATACACTCTGTCCGTTCTGTAGGTTTTGGTAAAATATGCAAAAGCTTTGACAGAGTCAGTTTTCCCCTCTGACCTTCAGGGCTGGGAAAGGCAAACAAAGACAACATTATATTACATAATGAATACATGAATATGATAATGTCATACATGTACTTGATGTACAGTAAGAGAAACTAAGAACTGCATTTTATTATTTCACTTGTAATGGTTTTTTGTTTGTGTATTTGAATCCATGAATTGAATTACCGTATGTCCCTTACTCTTGCTGCTAAAATACACATTCTTGGTCTTTCTGCAGGTATTCGCCACTTTGCCATGTTAAAGCTGACTGGAACCGGAGACAAAGCGTCAGGAACTGTGGAGTTATTTCCACTAAATGGTGAGTGACAGTAATGTGGGGCAGTCCAGGGACATGGGACAATAATGGCACCAGTAACTTGGAATGTATTGTCAGTACTGTGTGTTTTAATGTGAAAATACATTAAGATTATGCTTTATCTACATTTAAACTAGAATTACAATTTTGTCTTGTCTCTCAGACTAGTTTCAGGTTACATCCCTCCCTTGACCTTTGACCACCAAAATCAAATCAGTTCATCCTTGAGACCGAGTGAATGTTTGTACCAAATTTGAAGAAATTCCCTCAAGGCATTATTGAGATATTGCATTCACAAGGCCAAAACCGTGTTTTATGAGGTCCCCGTGACCTTTGACCTTTGAACACTAAAATCTAATCAGTTTGTCCTTGAGTCCAAGTGAATGTTTGAGCCAAATTTGGAGAAATTCCCCTTACAGCTTTACTGAGCTATCCCATTCATGAGAATGGGACTGACAGACAGACAACCCAGAAACATAATGCCTCCGGCGTCGAGGAATAAAAGTGCATCATCAAAATGTGAAACTGTTAAACTCCTAGGTGGTCCTTTTTTAGTTTGATCCATTTTTGCTATGGTCTGTGAAGTGCACTGCTTAGTTTTCACTCCATTATCTTCACTTCTTCTAGGTCATAGTCAGAGTGAGGTTGAGCCATTATCCCGTGACATGGTGAACAATCTGAGAGAACAGCTGAAGATCAGTAAGGACTACTTCAGCATGCTAATCGTGGGGAAGGACAGTGATGTCAAGGCGTGGTTCCCATCCCCCATGTGGTCCTTGGACAACATCTACGACCTGGTGGACTCCATGGAGCTTCGCCTCCAGGAGGAAAAGCTGCAGAAGAGATTGGGGATCCACTGCCCTGAGGACAGAGGAAGAGGAGGTAGCGAGGCGGGACACTATCACAGCTATGATCATGACAGGACGGAGGAGACGTACTTCTATCATGGGTCAGAGGAGTGATCAGAAAAAAGGAAGAAGAGTAGAGTGAGGAAGTGGAGATACATCCTTGAGATGAGATGGAAAATACTATACATGAACGCATGGATTTTAACATGAGAAAACTAATAAACAATGACCTCAAAAACTCATCTTGAGGACTAATGAATTCTAAATAAATGATGATGATACATCTGTTGGATACCACAATAAGCTGGATCTTCTCTATTTGTAAGTAATAAATTTGAAAAGTGAAGCAGAAAGTAGTTGAATGGTTTCATTCAAGAAAGTCTCAATGAAAGCATATGTGCACTCTTCAACTGTTCTTTAGAAAAGCTGGTGTTCCGTTATTTTGTTGATCGCAGCAACAGGGGAAGAGGAAGAATGTCCATACAAGGCCGAGCAGATTGTGCTTTTTGGCAACATATCTGTCCAATCTATTTTAAACACATTCACTGAGTTGTACAGGAATACAAATGGAAAGTTCCTGTGTTGAGACATTGTGATGCTGAAATCGAAACTGCATTTAAATGAAACAAATGTTTGTTTTTTAACTCTGAGTTAAACATCTGTTTTTAAAGAGCTGCAGTCTGCTGACACCTCAGGGTCAGTAAAACAATGAGTTATTGATGTTGGGCTCTGCATGCCCCAGGACATTTCTTTGAACAGCAAAATTTAACTTGTCTCCAAAGTTTTCCAGTTGTTATTAAAAAAAAAAAAAACATATCATGAATGTAAGCAATGATGGTGCCAGAATATCTACAGTTGCTAAAATCTAACTGTTGGATTAGAGAACCTTTTGTACCCCTAGAACACATGGAAAATCATCAAATAAATAAATAAATAAATAAAATGAAGTCTAGAAGCCCTTTTCAAAGCCACCCACATAGATTTGACCAGTCCAGGGTCCAGTAAAAAGATTGTTGAATATTCCTGACGTGGTAACATGTCCTATTCTAAGGCAATGTTTGAAAGATGAGAAAATATGCAGATTCAGTTCAGAAAAAATTAATCTGTGTCAAAATTATCAACAAACACCACACATGCATAAGCGTGGATGTTAGTTTCCATGAGATCAGCAGCATTTTACAGTAACAAAGAGGGAAGTAGACTTTTGGGAAGTTTGTAAAATGCAAAATTATACTTTAAACTTTAGCAGATTCCAAAACACTCAATGTAAATTAATGAAATTAACTCTTGTGATTTGTAAACTGTAGTAAAGATTGCTTTTAAATTGGTCCTAAAACATGTGCAGCACCTGTATGACAAATATTGAAAGTGTTGATATCATCAATGTATGATATCAAGTGACAGACTGAAGATCTGGCATCGTGATAACATTAACATTGTTGTGTGGAATGTGAAGGTAAGTCAGTGAAAACATGACCAGGAGTAAATCTTTACAGCAGAGTGAAGGAACTGAGGCAGTGGAGGAACATGAATGTAAAGATGAAAGATGGCAAAGTAAAAGGATCCATACTTCAGGAAAAAGGAGAGATAATAACTTGTGATGTAGTGCATGCTGCCACATAAGTGGCTTTACAGTCAGTGGGCTTAACTTTCAAAAATCTAAATAGAAAACCAGCGAGAAAGGTGAAGAATGAGGAAAAATAAATAAGAAGAAGCGGGAAGTTGGCTGTAATTGTGTAACTGTCTCTGTGTGAAAATTTGCATGTTTGTGTAATGTACCTCCAACAGTCCAAATAAATGGCAGCCAAGCAGATTAGAGACTTCAGACTGTGTCACATTATGGATGATGGATGGATCCCAGTGCATCCTGGGAGAGGATTACAATGGATAGATGGATGGATGGAAGAATGGATAATCCAAAATTTCAGCTTCAGCTACATTTAGACAAAACTGAGGTCTGTGTTAATGGTGATGAAAACTAAAAAAAATCTGGAAAAAATCTTCATGTTCATACTTTTAACAACAAATAAAGCTCCATCACTCTTCAAAAATTAAACTCAGTCATTTTAGGTTTGTTTCTTATCAGTTGGCATGTTTTATATCCTCTTCTCACTTACTTTGTGTAAATCCTTTAACCCATTATGAGCTGCAGCACAGTTGATCAATCTGGAGTTTATAAATGATAAAAGTCACTTGACCTTTCCTCTTAGTGTCAGAGGCTCTTATAAACTTTGGTTAATTGACCCTTTATTTCTAGAATGTGAGGGATAACCTCATTATTTTTAATTAGTCATACAGTAAATGGCTACACAAGAAGCATAATTGCAATTGCAAACAGTGATCATACCCTAAACTGAGCAACAACATGGGCACAAGCTATTACTACTACAGCAAGGAATCAATATTACAGCCTTAATTAAAAAAAAACTCTGAAAGTAGAAATTAAAGTAAAAATTCCTGTAACTATTTCAACATCAGAGGTACAGTCTACTGAGCCTTGACAGCTTGCCTTGATTCACAAATAAATCTTATATGTTTTCTTGCTGCCTTTGATGATGCTAGCACAGCCATGGAATCCACCAAGAGGCCTGCTCAGCTTTCTTAAGATCAAATGAGGTACAAAAGGTTGAGCCATTTAGCTTGCTCAAAAAAAAGCATCTATTGACACTTCTTCTGCTGTTTTCTGTTTTCTTCTTTATTCAGGGTGATCAAATGGGCCACAATAATGTGGCCACAGATTGGCATTTAAGCCAACACCCAAAAACCCAGACAAATATGGCAACTATAACTATTTTCACACCGTACATGAACAAGAGCTTGGTCACACAGGTGACTGTACCAATAGTCAACCTCAGCCAACTACAGTAGACTACTGTACCTGGCATGGTACAAATATATCTTAAATCCTTTATGGCTGCATATTTAGCATATACCTTGATAAATTAATAATCAACACAATTTAAACTGTGATCAAACTCAAGTAATTTGCTGTCTTGTTAGTATTTTTAGATTCCTCTCTTTTTTAGCCATGCTAGTGGCATGGCTCCCACACACATTTAGTTTTTTGTTTTTTTGTTTGTTTCTCTGTTTCTTTTGCTTTTCTCTTATGTGTTTTTGTGTGTTTGTCTATTATTACACCTTTGTTCACTTGTCCTCTAATCACTTAATAAAAGGAAAAAAAAAGGTTCTCAATAACATTCCCATCAACATCTGCTGTATTTTCTGTTTAACAGAAAATGTTAGCATGCTAACAAGATGGTGAACATGGTAAACATTATACTGGTTAAACTGAGTAAACATGAGCATGTTTAGCAGGTATTAGCTTGTTGGCATGCTGGTTTTAACATTAGCTTAAAGCATCAGCAGTATAGCCACACAGAGCTGCTAGCATAATGTCTTGTAGGGCAATACACATGGCCACATCCTTTGATGTGGTGTCTACTACAGTATTGTTGTTGCTTTTTATGGCTGTAGCTTTTTGCCTTGTCACATCAATGTCACATTATATTTTTAAGTGTTGTACACAGTTGCTAAGAAACACTTCTCATCATGGGTTTCCTGTTGACCTTCCACTGAGTGAGTAACCATCAGTTGTTGAGCACACAGGGAAACTGCAGGGAGTTTGCCAGGGATAGGCAAATCAATTAGATTAAAACACACAGATAACAGAGGCTGTGAGACTCATACAAAACACACACTACTAAGAGAGGAAGTAGTCAGTTGTAGAGAGATGCTTATGTCACCACCAGAGCTGGAGTATACATCCCCCCACATACAAACACACAGACTCACACTCAATGCTTTGTGATTCACAAGTCTCACGGTATCTCTCTCTCTCTTCGACAGCAACAGAAACTCACACAGAGACACTGGACAAACACTCTCCACCTCTTATCTACCAACCATTTGGACATAGCAGAGTCCCCCTGGATTTGTCCTCAATATGGTGAGTACAACTTAATAATCAACTGAAGCTATTTAAAAATAATCACCTCCTAAATATTAGAATTACTCTGGGATGCCCTGCTAAGAAAGCTGCCATTGGAAATCTTTGTTACGTACATTTTTAAAAGACTGAATGGATATTATGCATAATTCTTTGTAGGAACACCTTCAATTCATACTTGTGCACATGATTCTAACAACATCATGATCAGAGAGAAAAAGCTGTCATATTTTATATATTCTAACTTTGACTTCACCAGAAATTGGACTACAAAGTCGCTTAAGCGATTTGTGGGCTTTTAGTTATCCTAATATAGCATTTAAGACCCATAAGACTACATTTGGTAGTTTTGCATTTGATATTCAAGACATGTATTGACACATTTCTTCACACATATTGTGTAAAAACTGAAGAAGTAACCATTAGGGTAGGGTTTCTTTTTGGTTTTGTGTCAACTAGATTGAGCAAGGCTACTTTAGCCTCCACTTTACACCATAAAGGAATGAGAAATGATGGTTCCTCTTTGCTTTGAGCCGAACAGCTTGTTCTTTTCTCTGCCCTGTCTTAGCAGGTCACTAGACTTGAAATGTACTTGCACATAGTAACTCCATAGACAGCATTTCTATTTAAATTTGCACAAACAAGGAAACAAGCTTAACACTTAATCATTCATCTGCTTGTGGGGATCAGGCCAGCATGTTGTGGTTGTCTCTTCTTCTCATGAATTCTGTTGATGTTGTCTGCTTGAACGGTGAGTGGTATACAAAGTAAACCCATCACCCACAACCCACTCACTCAGTTGCCAGTTCATTAGGTATACTCTAATTGCAGTCTGATATAACAGTCCTGCATTAAATCCTCCTTCATGAAGATTACAATGTTGAATTTTTGTTGAAGCTGTTTTGGAGAGGTGTTGATACATGTTTATAGTCATTTTGGAATCTTTAGTTGCTAGTGATGTTGAATTTTATTGTATCATACTGAAAGGTGTTTCCTGGATTTGACATAATTTGTAGGTTTTCACAAAGTTGCAACTGCACCATTGTTTAGACTAGAGAAGCAGTAATTGCAACTGTGTGGTACAGAACGTATTTGGTCATTTTAAGTTTACTGCGGTTGAGAAAACGGAAGCACAATGAGGGAACTTTCTTCTGCATTTTTCCCTTTGATTTCATATTTAGACACATCTCAGGCTTACTGTTAACACACTTTGTCACGCCACCACTGAAACATACTGGCACCACTGAAGTGACATTCCACCCAGAATCTATTTTTTGAGTACCACATATACAATCTGAGTTGCATGAAAATTTTATAGCTTCCTTCCCAACAAAGCGAGCAGCAGTGGCTAGCTTGACTGCCAGCGTATTTTGTGAATTCAAATAGTGACAACAAAAATAACAGAATCAAAGAGTGTTTTAGTAACATTTTGGCTGACGGACGATAGATGGATGGACAGTGGAGAAATGCATTATGCTGCAGAATTAATTTAAGAAGTGGTTGAAACCAGAATAACACATCTAGTGATCTGTTACCATACTGTTGTCCACACACAAGAACTGATTTTTGAAATTTACAAAGTGATTCAGAGTCATAGAATCAACCCTCCTAAAAATGACATTAATATACCAATTTGCATCGACAAAATTCTTTTTTTCAAAACAAGTTTTGAAAGAAAGATGGTGTTGGCGTAAAAATGTTTCTGTTAACATAATCTGCAAAGTCACAGATGTGTCACTGACAACATATTGAATTTGCTCTGCCTTCAATACACGCTCAAAGCAGCAAGAGCATGGTTAAAGTTTTTTTTGGTTAAACTCAAGGCACAAAAAGATCATCATCTTGGCTAAATATTGAAAAAGTGACTCAAGACAGAACTTGTTTACTTTTTCAACATTTAACCAAAATCATAATAATTCCCTACAACTTCTATGTGGTACATGAGCACTTTGTGGACTGTAAAAGACATTTCCAGTGAATGTAATCCAGGAGGCAACAAGATTTCCTGTAAAACATATAAGCCAAAAACAACTAAGAATCAGATAAGAAACTTGATTTATATGTGAATCAGTTTTTTTAAACCTGTCTCCCTTGACTGAGCTCATTTACACAGTGGACCGCACACTGTATATGATATCTGGCTATGGCTATACAAATCAGTGAGACTTTGTGTTACCATTACTCCCAAATAGCATACTGAAGTCATCCTAAGTACAATAACAAATACAGCTGCTTCTTTATTGCAAAATGGCATTTGCATGATAAGTTGTAAGTGTTTTTATCATTTTCCAGGTGGGTGATACAACATTCACTTGACCCGATGTTCACGCTGGTTTAACTTCCCATTTATCTTCATATTGTTGTACCTTCTGTTGCAGTTTCTAGTCGCTTTTACTGCTCTGCGTTAGGAATAGCAGTGACTGTGTGTCCTTATGCTCTTATCTCCACTTCCTGGTATGGTGTCTCTGACTCCAGTCAAACCAGCCTCATTAAAATAGGTGTGGCTGCTATTGGTCACTATGTTATGACATTTTGTCAAACAGCTTTTGGATTTTGGACACATTTAAGATGCAACTTGTGGTTTGTAATGCATCAGCCCCAACATTTGGTCATTCTGCACTCATATCACACATATGCAACATTGTGACCATTTTTCAGTGCAATAAACACTTAAATTGAAATACGCTAAAAACCATTTTGCTGCTATGGCTCATTCGACCTCAAAACAAACGTACTGTATCGTAAATATAGACCTCCCCACATTATTCAGCAATAAATACTAATAGACAAAACTGCCTTCTCTTTTCAAATTTCACATTTGCTTTTCAATTATACATTTTAATTTCAAAAATTCTTTTGTATTAAAGCAGATACATGTCAAGGTGCATAATACATGAATGCGGTTCTCAGTTCTTATCCTCAAAGACTACATTAACCAAATAAATACAATAGTTGCTACAGTTGGTAAAAGTCGGGAACTGTATGTTAGAATATTCTAACAGGACATTGGTTTTTTGGTTACTAATAATGAAAACTCTTATTCCAGAGCAATAGAGTAATAAAATAATACAAAAGTATTATGGGGGCTCAGTTTATGCAGTCTTGTAAGTGAAGAGAGTATTGCTTTCCTGTTAAAAGAGAGAAGAGAGAGAGAGAGGAACAAAGAAGCGATTGATTAATTTGTTTATTTTGGGATAGAGGCTAATTTGGCATAAACACTAACCCAAGGTATTTAATCATTAATAGGTAATAGTTATAATAGAGTGATTGTGATGTCATTTAAATATGACCGAACCATAAACCCTGTGAGCCACGGTTGTGTGAGAAGTTATGGTGTGTTTGGCATGGTTTGTGTATATCTGGTATGTTAGTGGCCTTGCGAAAAGAGATAAACAGATATGTTAAAAAAGTAACTAAAGCGAAAGCAGGAATTTCACAGGTTGGATAAAAAGGTCGGAAATAAGAGAAGGAAATGACTTATTATGGTATTTTTAAAGTTTTGCAACTTTCAATTCCTATGTTTATACCAGTCAAATGGAGTATGAATCTTTTCTCTCTTTTTTTGTTCTTCTTTTTCTTTGTTCTGGAGTTTCTATTTTAGCACGTGTTTGTTGAAGTCATTTTATATTCTGGCATGAGCAGTGCATCCTAACTTTATTTTCTTCTTTTCTGTATAATTCTGAATCAGATTGAATCAGATCCTGTTTGAAGTTTTGCATTTTGATCATTACCTCTACTTATGATCCTCTTCCATTCATTCCAGGAAAACAAAGCTGATGTAAAGGCCATAATGGCTCGCTTCCAATCGAGCGGGTGGAGCACCGATGAGACTTCTTCCACACCGGCTGGACGACCCAAACAACTCCTGCATCCCACCCTTTCCTCCGGCGCAGCCATACAGACAAAGAAACCTGTCATGGAAAGCCTCTCAGGCAGTGCAATAAGTGTTCCTCCTAAACCACCTTTTCTGAAAAATACAGTATCCACTAAAAGTGACACGGAGGTACATGAGCCAAACAAAACTAAAGCCCTGGCTAGCAGGTTTGCCAACACACAGGATGACACCAACAGCAAACCTTTAATTGGTACTAAACAGCAGATACCCCTGAAGCCTCCTCTTTCACAGCATCTTGAAGCTAAAGGCCCTGTACAGAAGCCTCCTCTCAACAAGCCCTCCCTCAGCTCCACCCTGTCCGACTCCAAACCTGCCTTTCCTAAACCAACTCCAGCCATTGGCTCCAAGCCCAGCTGGATAAAAGAAGACAGTGGTGGGGGTGTGCCATCCGCTACCAGCTCCACACCCAAAGCACCCCCTTTACAACAAAAACCGAGCAGCAGCATTATAAAATTACGGCAGCAAAATGAAGAACATACAGGAGCTAACACGGACACCGCGAACAAACCTTCACCTCTGACAAACTCCCCTTTTAAGCCCCCGTCCAACTTTAAGACTGCTCAGAATATGTTCAACAAGGAGAAGGACAAGAATGAGCAGTCAGCTAGTGGTGGGGCCAACAAAACGCCCCTCACTGGGACTAACTCCATCCCTCCTCCCAAACCTCCACCTGGTAAAAAACCAAGCTTGAAGAGGCCGCCCACGGCCTCTGCTAAGCCCAGCATCGTTAACGGTGATGCCACTTCAGGCCCCAAGCGTAACCCACTACCCAACAGTTTAGCTCTGGGTCTTGCTCCTGCCAAACCTAACCGACCCCCGAGAGTCAACCTGGAGAACTTTAAAAGAGATGCTGAGGCCTCTGGTAAGTTGGACATGGAGTTACAGCTTTGTTTGTTTACTAGTGACACCACTGATATAATATGAACAAAGGTACTGATCAGGAGAAGCACCAATCCAGTAAGGGAATAAATATCAGTACTTACACAAATTAATCAATTGTCTCTGTGAGGCAACACATATTAAACATAATCGTACAATGTACAAGTTGCTTGTGCAGCATACTGAAGGGTATTCACAGGTACCACCAAAATAAATACACTCTAACGCACAGTGTGTCAAAGATGTGTGATCACACTTTCAAGGCAACAGCTAAACTCATGTAGGCAATCTTCATTTAGACTTGGCAGAAAGTTTGTTCTTCTGCAATTTGTAAAGAGCTCTGTCAAAGATGGCATGTTCCTTATTTACCCACTTAGTTTCAAAGTCTTTAGGGGTTCCTATATTAGTACAACTGGATAGTCCCAAAAGTATAAAATTAAACCATTGCCTCATGAATTGGTAACATTTTACTGGCCCTTTAATTTAACAAATATAATTTAACAAATATGTACTAACAAACTAACAAGACATTACTCCTTGATCGTACTTAGAGACACTAATTCCTCAAAGGGAGGTGCTGTGAGTTGTGCTGTGTGTATTTACAATTTGTGATGACTTTTTATGTAGGGTTATAGGTATCACTGAGGACACAGAGAACGTGTTTCTGGGAATTTCTGGGGTTCCTGTACAGTGTAAAAATGGTGGGGTTTTTTAGACTGAGAGAGAGACACCATTTAAAACTTATAGATGCAGGGAGATGACTATATAAAATACTGAGGAAATCTCACAGTTCATTCCTAATCAATAAATGTGGACTAATGATCTCATTATTTATAAAACTCATGGCTACAATCCAGGTGACTGACTAGTCTTGCTGTGAGTTATCTAATGTGTTCCTTCTTTACCTCAATTAGACTTTTTGAATAAACAGAGTTTTACTAACATTAAAATAAAAATAACTGCCTTTAAAATGAATATTTTATCAAATCAACACCCTGTAAGATATACTTGTGACAAAAAGGAAAAAAAATAAACAGAAAGGGTTCCTCATATGTGTATTTCCTATCATATGCGTGCAACTTTGTACAGACTTTGTGAAGCCATCTCTTAAGTGTGAAGAGGGACTTGCTTCACACCTCATTGTGGCTTCAGTGACATTAGCAATGTGTAGTCTGCAGTTGGTGAGTTTATTTTAGGTCATCTCTCCAAACAGCAATGCACACAACTTCTGTTTCTGCATCATAGCATTAAAAATAAGTTATTATACATGTTTATACACTGATTGTGCATTTTTTGCATTCTGTACAAAATTTGCGCAAGTTACAAAGAAGCAGCTAAACAAATGCTCCAGTACAGATAAGATAACAGACGAAAGTCACATGAACACTCTTGGTTCCTCTATTTCCCCCGGCCAAGTTCCCTGTCCAGTTTCTCCTTTCTCCTCCCCCCTTGCTCTCCACTCTGACAGCTGAGTTTGTTTCACCATATGGGGAAGTAAGTTCTAGCAAACAGGGATAGTTTCGAGTGAGAGGTAGTGTTTTTAGACTCACACCTAATCTGAATTTATTTCCAGTCAGAGGATAACTGTTGGCTGTCATTCATCATAAAACATGGGCAAATACTGGAGGACAGAAGACGATGCTATGAATGCACTTTCACAAAAGTTGTTTTCCATGCTGTGCTCTCCCTTTGTCCCTTATTATGATGCAATATGCATCACAATAAGGGACAATATTACCCTGCAAAATTTGTGAGCACCAACAGGCGTCAGGTTATAAGGTTTAATTTCGTGTGTATTGCCTACTTTATTGGTTCTGTGTTTTGGGATCATCACTTGTGATTGGCCTTTTACTCATGAATAATTGTACAGCTTGGTTTCTTCTTCATACTTAGTGGTTAGGCGTCCTCCTGAGTGGTGGTGGAATGTAATTAATTTACTCAAGTACTACACCAAGTACAATTTTGAGGTGCTTGTACTTGAGTATTTCCATTTTGTGGTGCTTAATACTTCTACTTGACAACAGCCAATTATAAGATACAACAGTGACAGCAGCTGTTCTGCTTTCACTTTTAATACTTTAACAATTTGCTGATAATTCTTTGTAAGTCTGAATGCAATTTTTACTGTCATATTGATTGTTGTGACCTGTCTGACTTGTTTTTTCATTGTTTATTTTTCATGGGCAACCAAACAAGTTGCCACCCTGGGGACTGATTAGATTATCTACAGTACACATGAGGACACTGTCAAGGATACTTCAACTTCTCTATTTTAACATCATGTTGTTTTGTTACAGGTCCTGGCACCTTTAAGAAACCCATCACCCCAACTCCTCCGTCCTCTCACCCCAGTAACCAAAGCAACCACGTGGCCCCTACTCCACCCCCTCAGTCTGCACTCCCCAGTCTGCCCCCTCGACACCCTGGATCCATGTAAGTCACACATGCAAACACAAACAATATGATATATACTGTATTAATTTTCTGGATAAAGCTACACCCATTAACGAAAGGTAAATCCTGACTGTGTTTTTCAGGGTCCAGCAGGAGGAGTTCTATGATGATGTTGATGAACTGACCAGCTCTCCTCCACCTCTACCACCATCCACAGGTTCAGTAACATTCACTATTTGTGCAAATGTAATGTGTCATGATCATTATTTTGCAAGACTACCATGTTGTTTTTAGCACCAAAGAAAGACGGTACAGGATTGTGTAATGCTGAACTTTATACCCTACACTGAGTATATTAGAAGACACATCAACAAAATTATAATTGCATTATATTCTATTGGTGTATATATGGTCTATATGGTCGTCCTGACTGCCACCAACTTCTTACTTGCTTTGGGGTGGTTATTCATATTGCATATGATACTGATTAAGACCGTAGTTCCTGTCCATGGTTACATAAATGTTGTTTTACATAATGTAGTTCCAAATAATCATGATTCATTGTTTCTCCTCTGCAGGTCATCCGAGTCAGAGGGCAAAGGTTAGACACGCTGAATTACTTTAATTTACATAAATACAGATTTGCATGCAGGTGCTGTGTGCAGATGCAGACACACACACACACACACACACACACACACACACACACACACACAAAGATAAGGACAAGGATGTGTTCACTTAAAGACACGTGACTAATAAACTTAGTGGAATATAGACACTGCAGCAGCAAGTAACAGGAATGTATGAATCCGATGAAAAATTATTAGTTTATGTTCTCAGTAGTCCCAGAAGAAATTTAAGTACCTGAAATATCAACAGTATGATGAAAAATATTGGGAAATATGTTTTTACATGGGTCTACAGAGGTGTGTAGCACATTGAGTATGCATTTTATGACATATAAAAGACACACAACAAACTGATTCCCCATTTAAATTGCTTAATTATGTCTGTCTTGTCTGTTCAGGAGGAATTTGATGATGACGATGGAGAGATGTATGAGGACCTTGATGAACGATGGTGAGAGATTATTACACATTAAACTGTTGACCACACGCTTCACTGATTCTGCCATATCATTAAATCCAATTTAAGTTCAACAAAATTATTTGAGCGATCAAAATGATTTGTCTGTATATGGATGGATGGTTGGAGTTTTTATTTACTGAGGCTGGTTGGGGACTTTAGCTCCAAAACAGAAAAACCCTGGCACGATGTACTCTCATCACTGATTTTGATTTTGTAAACATACAAATGTATCACTTCAATAAAGGTTTCAGTCCCAGTTCAGCTGTGTCTAACTTCACTAACACTACTCTCTGGTGGTTGTTTTATAACACTACAAGAAGTTATTCAGTGTCACTCTGATGTATTTGAGGCAGATAAACTCAAAATGAAAGGCCCAGGTGGGATCATTTTAAATTCAACATTTTTTAGGGGAGATCAGGCATGTAGTCATGGTTCATTAGGTCTGTTGCCTCAGATTTTTTTCTGTTTTGAAGATACTAATAATTTGCGTTTTCTATTAAGTGTTTTGTATTTTTTATAAATGCCCATCTGGGGACTTTTATTTAAAAAAAAACACCAATAAATAAACTGTGTATTTTTATGCTTGTACTGAAAAATCATTTGTCTTTTGTAATATTGTAATTTGTTTTTTTTAACCTCAATACTCTTTCTCTCTCTCTCTCTCTCTCTCTCTCTCTCTGTCTCTCTCAAAAGGGAAGCGGCTGAACAAAAACAAGAAAAGAAGAGAGAGAAAGATGAGAAGGAGGAGAAAAAACGACTGGAGGCTGAGAAGAAGGAGCAGAGGGAACGTGAGAAAAAGGAACAAGACACCAGAAAGAAATTTAAAGTGAGTGGAACAAGACTGGACCTCTCAGCTAAACCTGCTGGGAGACATAAAGAGCTCTCATGTCTGTATGTTAAATATGAAGCTAGAGCCAGGGGATGTTGGCGTAGCTGAGCATAAAGACTAGAAACAGCAGTAACAGCCATGTTTTGTGGGTTATTTGCCTGACTATTTCTTGGGTGGGCACAGAAGCTAATCTGATTAAAAATAAAGAAAAAAGAAAAGACACACTTCAGTACATAACCTTGAATAAAACCACAATGCTAAACTAAGATAATCTAAGCTAAACTAAGTTGAGCTAAGCTAACTGTCTCCTGGCTCCAGCTTCAAAGTTACAGTACAGACATTGGAGTGGTATTGATCTTATCTTCTAACTCTCAAGAAAGCAAATAAGTGTATTTCCCAAAACTATTAATTTGTATAGCACTTTCCTGTTTTCAGAGACTTGTTACACATGTTGTGTTTTGTACATGTGCACATGCACATGCAAACACATGAAGTAATAGCCCAATAGAGAATACACCTCGTCTGCTCTGTCATAAACAAATGTCATGATTTACAGTATTTTTACCTGTGTACATTTTCAAACATATTTGCGTGTGGCTGTGTGTGTGCTAGCTGGTGGGCCCCCTGGAGGTCATCCACCAGGGGAAGGCTCGTGTGGACTGCAAAAGCAGTAAAACTGACCTCGGTATGAGGCAGGGAGACTGCGTGGACATCATCCGTGTACAGGGCAACCCGGAGGGGAAATGGCTGGGACGAACGCAGGACGGATCCAGTACGTTCACATATTCATCCCTCATCTGTCTCATGAGTTACAAACCTGCAATCAATGATGACAAAAACCCTAATTAAGAACAACAAATTAAGTCAAAATTTCATTTTGCTCTTTGTTCCAACAGTTGGTTATGTAAAGACCACTTCAGTGGAAATTGACTTTGACTCTCTGAAGAATCGTCAAGCTCAGCAGTCGTACGACCCTGAGGTCTATGACGACATCGACGTCATCTCTTCTGATAACAGGTACCAGGAATGTGAAATGATATATTACGTTATGTTACTCCACATCTGTTGGTTGCACTTTTGTAAGAATGGGGACAAGTAAATGGTAATTATATTTTTGCATTGTAAACTGCCAATAAGAAAACCTCAGTGTTGCTTAACATGAAAACATGCACATCAGTTCTTAACAATTTCACTTTTGTTCTGGACAACTCCACCCAACAACTCAACCCAAGATTTGTTCAATTTGGTATATTGAATGGCACTAAATACAAATGAGCCAAATGGATACTGTATGAGTCGCCAGGCCAGACCAAGCCATGAAATAAGAGTTCTAACATATTAAGAAAGTTTTATTGTTGCAGTTTCTTAGAGGAAATGTGAAGCAAAAGTTCATTTAGTGAAATATGCTTATTTACTTTCCGCCAAAAGTTAGATCATATGCCTGTACATTCAATGTGAAGCTAGATATGAGAGTCGCATCGATCATCTCATCTAACTCTCAGCAAAAAAAGCAAATAAGCATATTCGCCAAACTGTTGAACTGTTCCTTTGACCTGTACTAATTTAAATTGAATTCAGAGTTAACGCAGTTAATTGGTCACCTCATGTTGCACTTCTCAAGTTAATGAAATTCACTAATGAAAGCTCACTCAGTCAGCTAGTCTTTAATATTTATATTATCCAATTTTTCTCTATCTACAGTGGGATCAAAGGACCAGGAGGTATGCTTATAATCTTACAATAATAATCTTCATTTTATTATAGTCAGTTACTAGCTTCGCATTCAAAGATAGAGATAAAACATGTCACCAATTAAAATATATATTTGTTTTTGTCTTGTAGTTGTCCTTCCCCCACTGCCAGGAGACGAAGGAGAAATATATGATGATGTTGTTGATCCAAACCTGGAAGTCAGGTAGGAACTGATCTATTGACTTATAATAAATAATAAATAAGCAGTAGAATCTGCTTTTATGTACGACAAACTCTCACTACTACTGCTAAATGGAAAAGGGTATATAGGAGAGATGCAAAATGACACGGAAAAAGAAATGCAGGTCTTTTCATGATTGGTTGACTCCCTAGTCCCCTGGACACCAGGTCTCCTCTTACGAAGCCCCTTAGCTTCCTACGGATGTTTGACCGGAACAGACGCCCTGCCAGCACTAAAGTGTAAAATACACTCAGTAGTAAGACTGATCACAAATCTACTGCCCGCTGTTGTTAATCCCTAATCTTTCAGCCGTCACTCTCCTTTTAATATCTGAACAGTTCCTCTTGGACGAAGTCGCCTTTGAATGTTGATTTTCTCCCCAGATCAGCACCAGATCAACAACGTCACTTCTATCTGAATAACACTGAACGACTTTCATTTACAAATTGACTATTGCATGAACACCTGATCATCTGTGATTTTACTAATCTTCTTTAGTTATCTGCATGTCTTTGAATGATGTATGTTGACATGATCAGAAAATCAAGACATTATCTGCTAACACTGTCAAAAACATGTTTTAACAAGTATACTAATTAAAATACTGTGTTGTAATTCATGAATATTATTAAATCAGGCTGATCATAATTTAATCATAATAACCTACTTTTAATTCATGACATTGTAATTATATAAATTATGTAACATTTTAATATTTTTCTCTCTGTTGTGCCAGAGTGCCTCCACCCAGCCAGTTTACTGCAGAGGGGAATTCAGGTATAATGCACTGTGATAACACTACATGTTGAATGAATATTTAATGAAAAGCACTTGTTTCTCAGATTTTTCCTTCCTTGGCTTTTCTTTTGGCCTCTCACCTTCCCTTAAGAAAGTGGTGTTGGGCCATAGGCAAGAAGTTTTGCAGCTACAGCTATATTTAGTTTGGTATGACCAGTAGCTCATAGTGACTCATGTAAGCTAATGTTAGCAAAGTTCAGATACAGTAGATATTGTTGTAAAATCACCATTACTGAGTCACTTTGTTGACTTTATGAATCTCCTCTTCTTGTGTTTCTCTTATGCTACATTTTTGACATTTAAGATTTTACTGTCAATGAAAGTCACATAGTCTCAATTTTAGAGAATACTCCCTTGACAATTTGCATTTAATTTCTAACAAGAGATGTTTGTACTGCTCTAAATGCATGTATGACTTTAAAATGGGTCTTGGTATAAACTTTTACATCACGTTTTAAGTTTCACTAGCCAAAGTATCAATTGCCCCACACCTCCACTTCATATCCTTTACAACTGATAATTCATTTTTATTATATGTAGTGTGATTAAAATGTGTCCCTTCTGAATGCATGATAATGTCACGTGTCAGGTGCATTTTGTTATTAATGTTATTTTTCTTCATTGTCTTCTCCCACATATTACCTCAGATCAAGGAGCCACAATTGATGAGGAGATATACGATGATGTTGACTCTCAAAATTTGCCTTCATCTCCGCCCATAAGCAGGTACAATTACATCAATTTCAAAACTTAATAACCTTACAGTAGAGTCCGTCCATTTAGATTCATGGTTTTAACCTTAATATATTTTACTGTTTTGTTTTTATCCTGTAACTTATTATGTTTCTGTCCAGCTTTTCAATCCAGAAAGGCAAAAGCAAGACTGATGAGACGGACCCAAAGAAGCAGAAAAAGTTTGAGAAAGAGGAGAAGGACTTCAGGAAAAAGTTTAAAGTCTGTCTCTCTAATATATTTTAAACATACTTATCAGTCCAGTCCTCTAACTGTTGCCAGGATCATGCCTGTTGAAAAATCTCCTGATATGAATTTATCAATACATTTAGCAGGGCTGTGATTAACAAATAACAATAATAATACTAATTATAAATTTATATCATTAGAAGATTGACTGTGACAAAATAAAGTTAAACTTAAGCCCTTAAAATGACATTTCCTTTCCACATATTTAGACTTAACAACTACCAAGAATGTAAAAAATGAAAAAAAAAATGTATTCACAGTTACAAACTTAAAAATTGAGAATATCGTGTTCAATCTCTTTCAGTATGATGGGGAGATACAGGTGCTGTACCAGGTGAACATCGTCCACACACTCACTAATAAGAAGTGGAGTGGGAAAGAGCTGGCAGTCAAAGCAGGGGAGAAACTTGACGTCATCGTTAAAGCTGTGGACAACAAATTGATCTGTCGGAACGAGGACGGCAAGTGTGAGTATCTGTTTGATACCACCAAGATAATTAATCAGTTCATGTAGAATTCACACACTACCGCTTTTTCATTCTTTCCTCCAAAAAACTGAATCGTTCTCATCTAAAATCTTGTGTGTCCGTCTGTAACAGTTGGTTATGTTTCAACCAGCCATATTGCTACGGAGTAAGTATCAAAAACATTTATACATTCATTTACACACAGACTAAGAAAGAGAGACTTAGCAACATGTTGTCTATACTGATCATTTTGTTTTTGTTTAAAGTGATGGTGATATCTATGATGACATTGGAGATGGTATGTTCAATTTATCTTTTAATATTTCATGAATAGATTTCCGCACAGTAAAATTGTGATATAATATTATTATTGCTTTTTTCCAGATTGCATCTATGACAACGATTGAAAAACGTCCTGCACTGGGTTTATTGTTTTACATGGATATTGTACATGTTATTTATTATGTTTACTGATGATATACATTGGGAATTGCTTTGAGATAGCCTGAAAATCTGACTAAATTGTCATTTCATTTTCACTTGATTATTTATTAAACAATATTTGAATTGCTGAAAACAAATTGGACCTGTGGCCAGTGATTTATCTAGGAACAGTCTGGCTTTGAAGTCATTTGAACAATGTAATCCTTTTAAATTTTGTTTCTTCAAAAAAACAAAAAAAACAACAAAACAAAACAAAACAATGCAATGTGGTTATGTTACATGCAACATCTCGGCAAGGTGGGAAACATTTGTTGGATCAACAGTATTTGCATTTTTCTGTTTTCATTTTTTTTGCCTTTTCCCCCCTCTCTTGCACTGCCTTTAGACATTTCACAGCTCTGACTTCACATGTATGCTTCTACTTTGGCTTATATTTATAATAAGGAAAGTGGCATGTTTAAATGAAAGTTATAAACATTACCTGCTATTTTGTCAGTTATTTCTGTCCATGATATGGTACTGATCATAACTCTGGTTTATTTGTCTAAGGTTTCATCATGTAGACTTAACAACAGATGTAGTGCCAAAGTGATTTTGCATACTGTACATAAAGTTATGACATACATATGATTTTTTTTTCTTAAGTGTGTTTTTCATTTCTTCCTACACATCTTTGTATGTCCTATCTGTTATAAAGAGGCCTTTTAAGACCCACATTAGTTAAATGCATCTATCACCAACATGCACAATAAAGTGTTGTATGATTCCTGTAAACTTGAGTGATATGTGTGCAGGTGTTTGATGAGTGCATGACTAAATGAGAACCATTTAACCGACTTTTTCCAAATCAAGTAATCAGCAACTTACCTCTCCTCATGATGGCCTTCTCGCTGCAGTTTTTGTGGAACAAGGGAATCAGTGACATCTAGTGGCAGCCATTAAGACCTACAAGAAAAGCAAACCACAGTGAGATTTGGGTTTCAGTAAGTGGTCTAAAGTTTGCTGTCATCTTTAAAAAACACTAAAGAGATAAGCCCAAAGAAAACACTGAACATATATTTGGCATCTCATACCAACTGTACTAATATCACACTTACTTGTTTCCACCAAAACACCACAGATGAGGTGGGATCCATATCATGTCACATTCCCTAGATTGACAGCAGAAAATAAAGACTAAATTGGTGACATTAGCATCACATGATGAATTAACTCAGGGGTGTCAATAAGCACAGAGAACCAATGAACTAGGGGTCTGGAATTGGAAAGGGGCCCTGCCAAATATGAACAGATATATTGTAAAGTAGTAAAATAAAACGAATTATTTCTAGCCTATTGACTCTCTTTTAGGTATTTTGTAGTATTTTTTATAAGAGTAATATATACTTGATATTAAATTGTAATTGTTGTATAAAAAGGCCCAGGGGGTATGCTAAATTAACTGAAATAAATATAAAACATAGTAAAGGTATGTAAGTAGTACATAAGTATGTGGTTAGTTGTAAACTATTAATAATGAAACCGTGTCTTCACCACAATGTACTGAACTATAACAAACTAGCTATTTATTTATTTATTTATTCATTTTGTTAATTCTAGATTTACTTGCTAGCTATGTAAGCATCAATACCTCGTAAAGTTGGTTAATTCACTCAGTTTTTTTCTGATTCCTTGGTCCTCTGTTTGTAGTAAAATACGAAGGCGAAAAGGAAGGAGAAGAAAAAACACAGAAAAATGTGGAATTTTGGAAAATTAAGTTTGCCTGAAAGTACAATTTAGCTCCACTGCCTATTTGTTAGTTTTTTTCAAGAAAAAAAATCATTTCCGCTCTGCCCCGGAAGTCACTTCCTCGCTTCACAATGGTTCCCCCAGTCGCAGTGTCGCCGCTCATCAAGGTAATAACGACTAACATTTGACCTTAATATTTTTATGAATATGAATTTGCAAAATTAGAGGAAAGAACGCAAACTAAAACTACAGCTGTCATCTCAAGAGCTGCAGCTATTGGCTAACTACCGTTAGAGTTAGTTGTCGTGCTAGCATGCTAGCTAGTGTTTGCTAGCAGTGACATTGAGAGGCTTGACAGGTGAACCGCACTCCGTAAAAACACCTTGAAAACCTGATCGTCCACATCTGCGTGATGCGAAATTCATGATTATTATTATTAGTCATCGTGCTACTATAAGCCATGCGTATCATTTCAGTCAGGATATAGTTAACCAGCGTTAAACCATTTAAGCAGAAAGGTCAGGGTAAAGCTGAACTTCGCCCCAGTTACGGCTAACTGCTAGCACTGAGCGTGGTTAGTGTAGTTATCTGAAGTTAGTTTGTTAAACGCACACCCTGAGCACTGTTAAAGTCAGAACTGTATAAAGATCAGAAATGTTATAAGCTGTTGTTTGTTGTGCTTAAATGTGACCTGACACAACAGCGAAGTATTGCAGCTGAAATCTTAAAAACTGTTAGACATAACTATTGACAGCTAATCTTACTGACATGTACCAGCTCACAGAAGAAGCCGATCAAGTCATTGTTTTATTTTACTAGTTAACACATGTGAATCACTTTTATTTCAGACGGCCAGGTGGTCTGCTCTCCTGCTTGGTGTCTTCTATGGCAAACAGAGGTTTGGTAAGTTGTCGGAGTGTTTCTGAAAATGTTCAAACTTCAAGGGCAGTTTAACAAAGGGAGAAAAGTTCTCTGAATAGGACTGTTGAATAGTTGCACGTTTGTGACATATTCTTAACCGTAGATACTTTAACACATAACATTAACATGACATTTTGCCATCTAACATTGGAAAAAATACAGTAAAGTAAAGTATAAAGTAATGATGGTTAAATTCCATTTAGCTGCTTTGGTTTCAGGGTCCTGGTATTGTGCATATTGGCTCACTGTTACTCATTAATGTTAACAGCAACACGTTTGCTTTTCCTACTGTGCCAAGTCAAAATGCCTCCTTTGAAAAAGGCCTACTATAAAGTTGCAGTGTTGTATTGCAACACACACAACTGTGAGATCTTTTTCTGTCTTCTGTTCCTTCAAGCTATGTGGCAGGTAGGGAGCCACCTTCAGGCGATGAGTGTTTGATACTTAAAAGACTAGAATTAAAATGATATACTGAAGCTACTTTCCAAAGCAAGTTCATCATGAACATGAAACATCCAACATAAACCCAGGGGTTCTCAGGCCATACATTGGACCCCCTGGAAAAAAAAAAAAATCTGTTTAATTGCATGATGTTGATGTATATTTTGCACCCTACGTCAAGCTAAAATGAAAAAATATTCGGTGTTTGATTTGAAATAATGACTAACTGTGGCGTTATTCTTGTTCAGACTACCTAAAGCCCATTGCTGAGGAGGAGAGGAGGGTTGAAGAGGCAGAGAAAAAGGCCAGAGAGGAGCAGGAGCGCATCTACAAACAACTGTCTGAAGGTATCAATGACACACAATCTCTTTGTTCCTGTCTATTGTTGGTTATGATAATGATGATGAAAAATGCCTTATTTACACATTTCCCCTCTTGTTCTCTCTTCTCTCTGCAGCAAACGCTGACACCATCCTCAAATGAGCTATCTCTGGACCTTTATGTTTCAAAGTCAATAAAAACAGAAATTATTTTTCATGTAATAATTCAGTGTCCTAGTGTTACTTGTGGTTTGTGTGTGTGTGTTTGTGGGGTTACTTTATAGTAAAATGAAAAACAACATTAGAGTAATTAATATCATCTCATTCCTTATTATTCAGATTTAGTTTTTAGTTGCTTGCAGTGCAAAAAAAGGAACACACTGCAGCACACACGTTTTGTGACTAGAGCAGGTATGTGTGTGTTTGTCTGTACCTGTCCTTCAGTAGGAGATGAGCCTGGGGCAAGAGCATGGTTGTAATCCTGGCCTAGTTTAGCAGCAATCCCAGGATTGGGGTCAGGGACCAGTGGAAGAAAGTGCAGTGTGGACAGAAGTGTTCCCTCAATACTCTTTTGTGTTGTGTAATATTGTAACCCTCATTATGAACTCCGCACTGCATTATAGCATTATATAGTACATGCTATTGCATTATGACTGCGATGGCTGAGGGACTGCCGATGGGGGTTTTGTCATATTTTATGTAGCTACATATGACTCAGACAAAACTTGTCTTTTGTTTTTAATAAATTAAGCTGGTGATATGTTTTATAAGAGTTAAATCTCTCAGCGAATAGTGAATTACCAAACTACAAGTATGAAAGAACAGTCATTTTAGTTTCAGTTTCACTATAAAAGATAATTAATTCACTGGGATGCCTGATAAAAATACATTTGCTTTATTTGGGTCATCATTGTACACATGGAGCACATGAAGAGGCAAGCTTTAATATACTGACCATAAGGTAAATAAAGTCTATTTAAAAATGTTCTGGGTATGTCTGCAGCATATTTAGGTACATGTATTGCCTAATACAAGTTGGTCATGACCGATACAGCCGTGCTTACTTGTGGAATACTTGTATATCAGTAAAAAGAGGCAAGCACGATAAAACCATAATTCAATATATAAGGGGGAAAACAAAATTACTTGATGGCTCGGTTGCCAGTGCCTGCATGTAACACTAATGTCCTAATTAAAAAATAAGCATCTATATTTCAACTAGAAAAATATTTTTTTTATATTTACAGGGAGGGATGGAATATATACAAGTTTTTACAAGAAGTTAAGTTGCTCCCTCGCTCTGTCTCAAACAGCTCTGTTCCCCTGGAGCCTTCGTTGCCCGTCCGCAGGGATGGTTACCACAGATACATGATGGGAGAGTGGCTAGCACCAATGCCTCACAACAGACCTAAGTTCAGGTCTGACTTGATGCTTTTTTTGTGTGATGTTTGCATTTTCTCCATATTTGTGTTTTGTTTCCTCTGACATGAAAATACATATGAATATTATGAAGACACTGGCCTCAGAGCTGGAGTTAGTCCTCGGGAGGTGCGTTGCGGCTCAACCCTGCTCCTATTAAGGAAAGGTCGATGAATTCAGGCGATGAATTTCCCATCGGGTGATAACTTGTAGCAGCTGGAGAAAGATAATTGCTCCTGCTATTGTTTTATGCTTCAAATGAATTGAAATCCAATTATTCAGTTCATAATAAAATAAATCTTATCTGGAACCAACTAATTTCCAGAGCTGTAACTGGCTTTCAATGTGCTCTATTTTATTTAAGACATCTGTAACTTTATATTCATAAAATACAATAACAATCTCAGCTACTCTCTCAGATGTATGTACAGTAAGAAGGCATCATGAGTAAGCAACTACAGGCTTGTCTGCAGACAGTAAAGTTAAATGTCTATGCCATTGCCTTAATATTCCTATGTACTAACCATACTCTTCACAAATATGCAGCTTTTCCTGGAGCAGCCCTGAGCTCGGCATCTACCTTTGGCTCTCCGCAGTCAAGGTAAACAGACTCTCATTTGTAAATGTCAAGTGACTGGAAGGAGTGAACATGAAAGTATCATTTTGGAATATTGGAATATATGTACAGTAATTCAGTAATAGTTCAATCAACCCATTATCTGAATTTACATTCTGAAACCCTAAAATGAATATTACATTAATGTACAATATACAGTATGTTTGAAAACAGCGCTCCAAACATGATATACAGTCTACAGTGACATGGACTTTGCAGTAAAGAATTACTTGTATAGAACGTTCACTCTTAACATAATACATAATCCATACTTAATCCTCGAAATGTCAGGAAACAGGTACTGTGTGAGGATGAGTGAAAACCTGAGATTCAAAAAATCACTGATCTCCTGATTCAAATTTTAAAACAAATAATTTTAAGACAGGCAACTTTGTTTAAATGTACCCTGAAGTAGAAGCAGTAGTCAAGACTGGCAGCTTCTGTTGTTCTTCAGTGAGTGTTTTTCCCAGATGTCCTGCCTTGTTCTGAATTCATATTTTGGCTCACCTGGTTAGTGTCCCTTCAAGATAAAAAAAAAAAAAAACCCTCCTCCCTCGGTGAGGATTCTCTCCTTGTTCGCTTTTTTTTTCTGTTTGGAACCAGTTTCTCTGAGGAAATACTATTGGGGCTTTGTATTCACTCATGTATCCGTCTTCCTTACTAATTCATTTTTTTATCCCTTGGCGGTCAGACTGAGTGGCTGACTGGTTGTGATTCTGAAGGTAATTCTGAAGTCAGTCTGTCGTGAGCTGTCCAGCTGTGCACCTCCATCAAGTGCACAGCTTCATGACCTTCTAGCACACAGAGCAGGTCTTGGAGCCAGAACCCCCGGCGCTGGGGTTGTTTGCAGCAGCTGGAAGACAAAGAATACATCGGTCAAAAAAAGTCAGTATATTTGTGAATGAGGAAAATGCTAATGGTTAAATGTTCAGTACTTTGTGTTGTGGCTAATTTCAACATATAAAATGGATAAACACACAGCTATATAAAAGCACAATTGAAACTTTTTGGCTTTAATTTTCTTTTGGATCTCTGACTCCACATTGAGCCACACTTTGAAACAGCCACCAGATGATACAAAACGCCAGAACAGTAACATTAGGTTCACAACTTTCCAGCAATTCATTGCAGTTGTGTGATTATTCCAAAGAATCACTGCACCTTTACTGCCGGCAGCTGCCTCTTTGGCAGCCTTCTCTTCCTCAATAACTTTGAGTTTAGCTTCATACTCTTCTTTTTTAGCATTCCACTCCTTCCTGTTATTGAGGATGCCGTCCAGCATGGGAGTGATTTGTGGGTGGAAGCGAGAGAACTCCTGCACAGAAAATGGTCAGAAAACAAATAATGTAGAAAAAAATACATCAAAGAAAACATAACAGATAAGGTAAAGGGATTTGTTCATACTTGTTCATGCTCCAATGAAAATACTGTTAGTGGGAACTACATCATCAACTGGCCCTCATTTTTATTTTATCAGATTGTACAAAGTTGCACAATAAATATTAAAATGGACCCGGACCCTTTTTTTTTTTTTCAGGTAAACTGAAAAGAGTACAGTCAACGTGAAACATTACCTTGTAGACAAACGTGCAGACAAAGTCAATGAAACCACACTGTAGCTTTGGAAGCTCAGCTGCCTTGTTCCTGTCCATCATGGGCTGGTGGGAGGGACAGAAACAGTTTGTAGCGCTCAACAGCAACATATCAGTTCAGCACATCAGTGACAACTGCTGCTGCTCAAGTGATTGAAGACGTAATGCTTCTGGCTTTGTACAGTATCTTTCTACATCACTACCGTTGCAATACAACTTTCAACCATCACTGGCAGCACTCGAGCACGTGAGGGAGGAAGAAGGAATGATGCATCATCTTGAATATTGTTGTGTTTTGTTGTGTTAACATTCTTGCGTTAATCATTGCCTGAAATGATTTAGTCACTAGAGTCGGGACTCGATCGACACTCGACGTGTGTAGGTGTAGGCTGGTTAGAGACACTACAACAAGATGAATTTATTGGGTTCTGTCTTCACAGACCCACAAAAGAGTTATCAGTCTGTCTGTACCCCTTGCTTCTGGATGTGTCGATAAGGCAATTGGCCACAGGATAGTCTGAAGCTACCAGTCAACAACAAGCAAAAGGCTTGGATTTTCCCGAATCCCGAATTTGCCACATAAATATGAACAAGCAACATAGACAGAAATACAGAAATATCAATCGAAAAACATTTTGATAAGTGATTAATTGTTTTAATAAAGCAACAATGTCTGGTTCCAGCTTGATCAATGTGAGGATTTGTTGATTTTTTTCCCGCACTATATTATTTTAAATGAGATATTTTGGGCTTTTGGACTGCTGCTACCAGGGACTCTAAGAAAATGTGATGGGGTATTCATCACCATTTTCAGACATTTAATCGATCAAACAATTGGCCGATAATGTAAATAATTGTTACTTGCAGCCTATACCACGGACAGCCTACACAGTTATTTACTGGTATTAACATGTGCACATTCTCACACATATACAGTTCAACTCACAATGGGTTGCTGTTCCAGTACTGTCCTCTCCAGGTCACCCTGCTCCCAAAACTCTGCTGCTACAGACAAGGCAACCTGAAAGACGCACACACACACAGGACAGTCATCTTTAGAGAAACAGCTTTGTGAGACTTTGACTATTGAGATTTTTGGGCTTCTTACCTTGCTCTGCACCTCCCAAGGCTTGGTGATAGCAGACAAGTCACATGCGGTCATCATCATAGCCCTGGAGTGGAAAAGATGTCAAGAATCAGAGAAATGTCAAGGAACAAAGAACTTTGTGTGTGTTTGTTCTACTCACATGACGATCTCCTTCCTGGTTGTTTCTAGAGACATGAAGTCGACCCACTTCTTTTCATCCTCGTATGTGTGTGAAAGGTCCACGATCTTCTGGAACATGGTTCTTTTCCTAACAAGGTACATGGAGAGCAAGTATTTCAGTTGTGTAGTTTTACTGTATAGACTTGAAGGGAATGAACAAGCAGGTGGAGTGAGTAAATGAGAGATTGTGCTGACTTGAAATAAAGAGCCAGGTCAGTGGCGATGATGGCAATGTCCATGAGATGAATGACATGGTCCACCTGTCGCCTGTGAAGGTTCTGGTAGATATTCAGTGACTGCAGGTGAGATGAAAGGAGAGTCGTAGGTAATAGTTAGTGACGAGGAAGAGGATTCAGGACTGCACAGGTTAAGTTATTCTCTAGTTCTCCTCCTCTTTCTCACCTCATCAGCCAAGAGGAACTTTCCAAACTCTAGATGGTGTCGTTCCAGGATGGAGGAACCATGTAGCTTGGCCAGAGGGTTACCAGATCTGAAATCAGCAGGATTAAACATGAAATTAACAAGAATCACCAACAGCTTCAAGTATCAGGCCTCAGTCTTTGCAGCGCAGGCCTGGCTTTATTCACAACTGAATAAAATCCTACTTGCAGAGACTCCCATTACAGTGAACCTCACACCTAGTTTTATTGTTGTCAAAGACGCTTTATCAGTTGGATTGTCATGCAGCTGAAAGGATTAACACGCATTAAAAAAAACTCACTAACATTTATGTCAGAAGGCCATATTTCAGATCTACACATAGGCACATACATGCACCATTAATGTGCACAATTCTGAGAAGAGAACAAAAGAAACCTGGCATGGTGTTCACTTTTGAAAGATCTCAAGCAAGTTTCAAGTCTCTGTAAGTTGATTATCATGCTCTATGAAAATGAACATGATGGCACTGCTGAATGTTTGAAAACCAAACTAGGAAATATATTAAAAAAAAAAGAACTTTTATGAGAGTGTCCATGTGAGAAAAAGAAGCTCTTTATACATTCAGCATGAGATGATTATTTAGCATTGCTATGATGCTGAGACACAGTAGTGCCATTCTTGTACATGGGGACTGATGTTCCCTCCGTACAGTATCATTGTGCAAAGTTTAGGCTGGGTTGTGTTTCTGTTAAGAAGTGAAAAAGCTCCCATCAGCACTTACTTGACTTGGTACAAGTTGTTTGTCCCTCTGTGATCAATATCATGCAGGAAGCCCGCAGTTATCATGGCCATTACCTCCAAGTCAGTGTAATACCGTTTCAGCATCCCCGTCTGAACTCACACAAACACACACACACAAAGTGGCCCAGTAAAGAAAATACACAAAATCCGTAACACAGAAGAGACTAAAATGTTAATACCTTTTAGACCTTTATGTATATGCAGATATTGAAATAGCATCTACAGTAAATGGAGGCTAAAATGATGCATAATATAGTACCGTTAATAGTGTGAACATGGTCTGTCCCACGTTGAAGCCATGGCGCCAGTTGTGGTAGGTGATTCGTCGGTAGCCTTTACTGACTGAGTACATGAACCGAACCAGCACCTGAAAGGGCAGGAGAAGACAACCACTGAAGACATAACAAACCTGTTGCACACAATCTGAAGATGTGAAGCTTGTATGTGTGTGTGTGTGTGTGTGTGTGTGTGTGTGTGTGTGTGTGTGTGTGTCTGTGTGTGTTTATTTGTGCGTCTAGATCACCTCTTGAGGGACCTGGAACTTCTTGACCACCCCGACCTCATAGTACATCTGGATCCCGCACTTCACCAGATCCATCTCTGTGCAGTTAAAATCTGAAAAGCGGAACTCGTAGATCTCAAACTTCTTAATCAATGGAGGGAGATCTTTTTTCTGCGGGGGGAATGAACAGAAAGCAGAGTGGGACACAGCACATTCATTACACTGGCAGACAGACAGGTAAGTGTAATGTCACATTCCAACATATTTCACTCAAATTTGTCACCTCTTGCAAGGATTAAATACTACTTATAGGAGGACACATTAAAAGACATTAAATTACAATCAAGTCTTAGTATTACCAGCATAGCTAGGAGCTCATCCTCTTCACAATCTCTGGGTTCACAGCCGTGGACCTCTCTGGTGTTCTGGGAGAGACGAGAAAACCATTGAGGTTGTATACCTGAATTTACAAATTAGTTAAGTCACAAGTACAGAGGTAGTTAAGCCTCCTACAAAGAGAAACAGTCCAACTGAACACAGAGCGTGTAACATTAAGCTTTTTTAAGTAGACAAGCTTGAATGTGCTACGTGCACACTGGACTTTTTGATAAAGCCAAAATATAAAAAGGTATGAAGTACTGACCAGGATGTTCTGAATCTCATCATCCCGACATTTGACATGGTAGAGCACCATGTCCTGAGCAATGTCTTTCCGATTCTCGAGCTTGTTCATTTTGTCGTAAGTGTCGGTGTTCAAAACTGACCAGCCCAGGAACTGGGTCAAAGCCTGAGAAAGAGGGAAATCAACAACAGAGAGTCAGGAGCAGCACAGTGTGTATCCTACAGTTGGCACTGTATCAGTCAGATGGTCCACAGACAAATACAGATGAGTATTTTTTGGACAGCATCCCAGGGAGTATAATAGGCCATATTGAGTAGAGCTGCAGTGCATAAAATTACAAAATAGAATTTCATTCAATGACAAAATGTAATGTAAGAGTGATTGATTAGTTAATTAGTTAATTCATTAGTTACCTCCATGAGCTGCTCATCCTGATCATCAAAAGGCTTTCCATCTTTTCTGTTGTAAAAAGTGGCCACTCCTACTATCTCTTCTTTTTTGTTGACAATTGGCAGCGACAGAACATTTTTTATGGTCCAACCACTGCTGTCAAGTGGCTCAGTCTGCAACATTGGAACAATAAGTGAAAATGTGATGCATTTTGAACCTCCATTAAGATCCCTGGACTTTTATTTTTTCGGAAAATCATTTCTGTTGTTGTTTGGTGTTTGGCCTTCTTAACTCTCTTACCTGAAACTGGAACGTCTCGTCAGCAGCTGCGTTCATAATGTTACAAATCTAAAAAAAAAAAAAAAAAAAGGAAAGGAACAAACTGATCAAAGGGGTAAAATGTGCAAATGCTTTCAGTTTTAGTTGTAATGTATGTAAAAATATAACTCACAAAACCACTCTCAGCAACATAAGTTGGCAGGCCGCTGCTCAAGGCCCAGTGATCTGCAGGTGGATTGCTGTGTGGCAGACGGGGGAATAGACAAATAAGCAGGTATGTGACCACAGATTGTGTCCAAGCTGTTATTGGGCAACTGACACTACTGTTTTTAATCTTAATCTTTTAAACTTCTTCAATTAGTTCGGCAGTTTAAATAACTAAGGCTGTATTATTGGTTTTTTTTGTCATATTTCCTGCCTGGAATAAATATTCAGACTGAGGCAAACTTGAAAATATATTATATTAAAAATATATTACTTACGGTATGACTTTGATGTCTTCTTTTCCATGTAATATATAATCAATCACTTTGTAGAAAATTACCTCCTGAAGAAAAAAATGAAACACAGAGATAAGAGTAGAAAAAAGATCAAAGACAACGTCAAGTTCGTAGATATCTTCTACAAACACAGCGCTGACAACAATGTTAGATAAAGACAAAAAAAAAGTACCCTGCCATCAGGAGTTACAGGACCAGAGTAAGGTGGCTGCTCTCCCATCAACACAGGCCAGATGTCAAAGAATTCCTAGAGGGAGATAGACAATGCAAAGAAAAAAGTCATATCTTGAGAATAAATGCATGAACACAAAATGTGCGATGTTATAGGCAAAAACACAAGTATAAACAAAATACCTTTTCCTTTGTCATGTCCAGTAAGCCGACAGAGTAGCGGTCACAGTTGAGGTAGGCTCGGACTGTGTACAAGGCTTTGTGAAACTGTCGCTCAATATCTGTCAGCTCCTCAAATACCTTGTTGGCAGACCATAGCAGCAGCTATAGGACACACACATACACATACACATACACATACATACACACACATACATATACATACATATACATACACACACACACACACACACACACACACACACACACACACACACACACACACACACACACAGTACATTAGTCATGCGCAGCATTCAGTTCACGCACGAGTCCATTATCATTTATTCAGCCACCACAAATTAAATGCAGTGGTTTAAAATAAAATGTTACTGTATTTGTGTATCTGTGCTCATGTTTATGAACTTTACCATTCCTTTACGTGTCTCACAGCTGTGCAGGTAACTCAGATGGTAGATCTTCAAGTTCAATGAGGCAACTTTCAGATACTTTAAAAAAAGCTAAATGGACAAAGGAGAGAAAAGAAAGCGATGTAAGGAAAATCCTGACCTAATAACAGGAACGAGATGTACGTTATGAGACAGTGATGTGTGATGATCTCAGATGCAGTTTAATCTGATACACTGCAGATGGGGATAAAGAGATTACATGATAAGGTGTGAATTAAAAAAGAAAAAAGAAAAAACACTGCAGCATGAGCACCCCCTAAGTTTGGATCAGTCAATGATTTTTTTTGAGGAGGTGAGTAAAATCAGTCTGAGTTGTGTTGAATGCATATATTATTGGTGAATCGGTGATACCAGAGAGTGCAAAGGAACTGCATGATTCAGAGGTTACTTAAAAAGCACAATCATTTCAGTTTATAACAAAACTGAAGCGAAAGAAAAGTGTAATGATTTATAGTCAAGTCTTATCTCCAACAAACCAGGGAGCTTCCTCCTTAAACCACTTCTTAATTCCTTGTCTTTTGTCTTCTTTTGGTTTCTTCCATTAACTGTTCATGTTAGACTCGTTTCATCATTAAGTATGTAAAAAATATTCCAGCAAATTTGTTCCTTGTTTAAAAACATGTTGAATAAAAGTCCATTATTCCAGCCATGTTTGAAAATATTTCATGTGTTAATGTGAAGGTAATGATGATATTCAGGAAGATGACAACTCTGGCAAATACAGCGACAATATAGAAAAAAGTATAAACAGCAACCAGTATTTATTTACAGTACCAGTCATGGGAAAGTGTGTCTAAACTTTTGAGTGGTACTGTATATTCCCCCTGAAGCACCACCATATAGTCTGACTCCTGCTGCTGTTATTCAGATTCCAGTTTTTATTTGATTTTGTCCGTCCAGTAGTGATGTCATTAACCTGCTGTGGCTCCAGGTCTATTACTGACCAGTCTTTACCTCAGGCTTATTTCTATTTTAAAGCTTAGTTTACTCCTCGTTGGGATGACATCACCAAACGTGACGGATTAATGACCTGACGTATATGAACACACTATGCTCCATGTCGTAAACACCTTAATAATCTACCGGTAGGCTCCAAGGGAATTCCCCCAGCTGCAGTAACACCCTTAAAGTATCTCGGTTGTCTTTCATAGTTGCCATCACTATTTGATATGATATCAATGTCCAAAAAGAGCCACAATTAAAAACCTTTTACTTTAAGACAAAAGCAAACAGTTTATGTTGAAGAAACTGTGATTTTTTTTTCCTGAGGCCTCTTTATATGTTGCTTTGAGTTTTTATGTGCTCTTATTGACTGTGTGTGTGCTTTGTGCATGGGTTCATGTGCGGTTGGGACTCACGTCTTCGTCCTCAGCAGTGAAATGTGGTCCCGTGGTCTTGTTTAGAGCCATGATCACTGCCACCATGTCTTTACCGTTGAGGATGGGCGTAGCCAGAATGTTCTTGGTCTGGTAATCTGTGAGTTCATCGACAAATGAGCTGAAGTACTGGTTCTAAAGGAGAGAAAACATTATGATGATTTAGTACATGTAGAAGTATATTTGCAAACACACTTGTGACACACACACACACACAAAATTTTGTTTATGTTACATTTCAAATGCTCTCAGTACTGTTACTGTGTGTATAAACACACTTGAAAAAAAAATGTAATTTATTTAGTAATTTAATTTAGTTCTAGTAGTTTAGTAAAGATCAGAAATATATTTACGTATACTTTTTAAAAATGTTATCTATATTCAGTATTTACAAGAGTGATGTCTCAGGCATGAGTGTCAATGTCTGTTTTAAATGCCATGTTGTAGAGAGGTAGCTCCATAGGCCTAAAATATGCAGTATAGACTAAAATTAAGAAGCTGACAAATCACTTGCAATGACATGTTTTTAAAAACCTGAAATCACCATACTGAACTTGGCAAGAAATAATTATCTGCCTTGGAAGAAAGCTCAGTTATCAAGATGATTTCATCATGAAACTAGAGTATTTATTTAAAATATACAACACATATTTACTTGGGCATCTTTGAACCTGATGTAAATATGTGCCCCATTAAAATCTTGATGTAAAGGCGCCGTATGGACACACTGTATTGGGGCAGTGTAACGTAAACTAGTTTTGATCTGTTTTAGATTCCTGCTGACTGCTGACTAAATGCCAGAGGCGTCTAATCCACAGCTAGAGCAGAGGCTGATGGGATCTGGAAATAAATGGATTATGTCTGACAAGGAGATTTACACCCTCACTTGGTCAAGTATAGATACATGTTATCAACGCTTGTTTTACTCTGGTCTAAAACCAGCCAGCCCTAGTTATAAAATCTAAGCATATTATAATTCATGAATACATAGATTAGATTTAGTAAGGACATGCCATTGGCTATAATCAAAGTGTAACATCTGTTCAGTTTTATATAATAATATGCATAAATCAATTGTTTTTTTACTGGATAAACAGACGAGTTGGTGTAAAACTCCAGAAATTATGTTTTAAACTCTGGCTTTCGTTGTGTCAGCACTACTCAAAACCTCTTTACAAAGACGACAGTACTTCTGCACCTCGCAGTGTGGATAACCACCCCACAAATCAAATCTGCATGAGAACATAGGATACTGATTGGTTGATCAATTGTATAACATCACAACAGCTCACAACTAATAGGTTGTTTTCTATTAAGAGGATGAGTTCACACATCTGCACAGGTTTCATCACTGTATGCATTTAGTTAAAAAGCCCAAAATATTTTCATTCCATCCCAATGAAATATCCTTTGACTGTTGCTCTGGGTCTGTCTTTTGTTATTGCATTACTGCCTTTTCCAAATGCGAACTATCAACACTTGTCAATCGGTGACATGCTATTTATAACCGTGACCCACATTTATTTTACTGGGATGATTTCTGGGGGAGGAGAACATTCGGCCAGCAAAACTTGCTGCAGCTTATTTTTAGCAGATAAATTCAAGGAGTGAATTTACTCTTAAGTTTAGATTAAAGAAAAGACTCTGAATTCTGACCTAATAACATAAGATTCTGCCGGGAGTGCAGTTTTAACATCTCCAGGAGTGCCGTAACAGACGGACGGGCTGAGTCACATTTGTGAGTTCAAGTGAAAATCACTACTCTTATGTCACTCTTACTCTTATGAGCTACAATGACGTTAAAAGCTATACTAGCTATGAAATTAAGATTTAATTGTTAAAAAGATAAACATTTATTTATCAGTTAAAGCCACCATGCGTAGGATTTGAAGATTGAAGGCTGTGGCGACGCCTGGTGGTAGAGTCATTAATAACACTGTGACTTAGTTTTAGAGTTGCATAACATCTGCGCTCCAGCCTCACTCCAAGCTTTGATTTAGTGTTCAATGGTGCATTCCCCCCCCCCCATGCCCCCCCTCTTACCTCTGTGACATCTTTCACATTAACAGTCTTCTTGGTCAGGGCCACGTGGCCGACTATTCCCATGTCCAGCGGATAGACGATCTCAGAGTCTGGTTGCACCACACAGTCGTCCAACTCCGAGTCCGTGCTGACATTGAAAAGCCTTGTGGCAAGCTCTCCGATGCCGTTCCGCTGCCGGTACATGAACAAGCTGCAGCGGTCAGCGTGGATGAGAGCGGTGATCCTCTTCAGGATCTTGAAGACCACTTTTTCCACGTTGATGTTCTCCTGCATGTCTTTGATCAGGTCATACATGATCAGGCTTTCCTCAACCTTGAAAAAGACATAAAAAAAAAAAACACCCACATTAAGATTTTGGTTTTAGTAAAGAAGATAAGGGCCTTCATAATCAATAGAGAAGTTTCCCAAAGTTTATACTGTATATCGATAGGTTTATGTTAGGTAAATTTGGCTGTCTCCTTTTTCCCCTCAGACACAAGAGGAAATAATTTCATTTACCTGACTGAGCTCCTGGAACTGGCTGATCTTCTTGGAAAAGTACTGAGAAGCAAATGCAGGATTCCCTTTGAGGAACTTTTCCACATCTTCCTTTTGCGCACCCATGGTTCTTTCTTCCCCCTCTTCTCTCGAATGCTCCTGTCTTCTCCCTCTTCAGCTCAGTGATGGAGCTCCCGATCGGTCCAACGTTGCTCTAAATGAGCTACCTCCAACTTTCTCTGAGTAAACAAAAAACAGACTAAATAAGCAAAAAAACAATCCACACAGCTACCGGTTCCTTTATCCCCTAAAGAAAGAACGGATCTTACCCAGGTATTACACAGCAAGGGGGAAGACAGAAGTGGGCACATTCAAATGCAGGTTAAAAAAAATAAAATAATCCCCCCTGTTGGTGGGATGAGCGCACTGAGAGAGGGAGAGCCCTGAGGAGAAGGCAGAGGGCTGAATCCAAACAATCCTTGTGTCATCAGCAGATAGTGCTGAAGGTTAGCAGGGATCTGCCCATGCTAAACTTGTCAGCTGATCATCTGGTAACGGATATGGGGCCAAATGATCCAGCCCCCTGTGCACTTCAGTACCGATACTGTACCACCAAAGTACAGTTCGCTGAAACACACTGAAAATGAAATATTTGCTGTAAGGAACTGTATGGATATATTATGAAAGCACATGTCACACAAAAGGTGTATGACTTAATACGGTTCTCTATAGTTACACAACCTTTTTCTTTTAACAGCACTCAGGTGCAAATTAAGATTTATTCTAGATGTATACTGATGATGAGTTCAGATTGATTTATTCAAACCAGATGTGTCTTCTAGGTCTTTCTCACAAGTTTTAAAGCGCCTCAAAACAAAGATGATAAACTGCGTTTGTATTGGTTTTTCTGTATTTTAGACATGTTTTCTGCAAACATCTGTGCTGTGATGAACCCCCACTTCATTATAACATTTATACTGAATGCACAGAAAAGTATAAGTGTAAGATACAGTACATACAGTACACACAGATCAGTGTTGCGTATCTGCAGTATATTTCCCATATTTTTCATCTCGTATGTATGATCTGAAGTGTACAGTCTCTCTCACTCGTAGGCCTACCTGCACAAGCTCTTTAAGTCCTTATTAAACAAGGCCTCCTCTGGCATAAGCCCTATTTAGTTAGGACACTAGCTGATTATCTCAGCACCCCAACTCTCCGTCTTTCTCCATATGCAAGCTTTAATGCAGTCTTTCTGTATTGCCTTTCTGAGTTTACACAACAGTGACTGGTATCAGTAGATTTAGGAGACAAGGGTCTCACCGCCATTGATTTTCTGACAAGGCCAAGGTAGTGAGGCCAAGTAGAAGCTAGATGCTAATTTGACAATAATGAGATACTGTCAGCAACAAACACACAAAGAAACAATGTGGAAAAAAAGATGAATATAAAAAAAATATGAGAAAATGAATCCTTTCATTCAGAGCAGGAAGGACCTGTCTATAATAAGGTTTCATAAACATCTTAAGCAATAGGTCAAATAGATAATCTGCTTCCACTATAATAGATTACAGCAGAGACAGAGAGAGAGAGAGAGAGAGAGAGAGAGAGAGAGAGAGAGAGAGAGAAAGAGAGAGAGAAAGAGAGAAGGCAGTGATTTAGGTTGGTCAGTTTGATAAGAGTGTGTATTTGATGTGTACCTGCGGTGTCTTCTGTAAATCCACAAACAGTATCATCTGAACAGGAATCATGCTGAGGCAGTTATTTGGGCGTCCTGGGGGTTCACACTGTGCTTGTCCATTTGATTTCTCCTCAGTGCACCAACACTTTTTATTTCACGTGCAACCACAAATGTCAGCCTCATGGTGGCACCAGAGTATCACAAAAGTTAGTAGAATTCATTCTCTGGGGACTATGGATGTGTGCACCCGATTCCAGGGCAATCTTTTTATCAGATCTTGAGATGTTTGGACCAAAGCAGTGGCTAACAGTCCAACATTGCTATTTTTACTGGCTAAAATAGACATGTATTTACAGACATTTCACTTATTAACAAGATTGATCTCTCCACCTAAAACCATATTAACAATGGCAATTTTGAAAAAAAGTTTTGCACGTCCTAGATTAATTTTTTTAACAACCTGCTTTATACTATAATGATTATGGTGAGTTTATGTAAATGTTTGACTTATTCATGCTGAATATGTTTGGTTAGTTTGTTTACACTGAATACTTTTCAAAATGTAATCAGTGATCATTGGCTGCTTGTTGTCACTCATCCATCACACATTTTACTCTCCCAAATAGAAGTCATATGGTCTTTAAAGATTAATTCACATTTATTCCAAGTCTATCCAAAATCAGTACTAACAGGCCCATATGTACACTGAAACTGTTCTTGAACACTGTAATTGATCCTCCTGTCCAGACTGCCAGTGGAGTGATCCATTCCTAATGATTATACTGTTTAAAAAAAAAAAAAAAAAATTGCATTGGCATTAGAAGATGATATTTGATGTAATTGTTCCTGTCGTTTATACTGGCCCTGTAAAGGTTTGATTGCACGTATGGACATGAAGGTATTTTTAACAAGAGGCCAAACCTACAATAAGCTAACTTGGATTTAGTGATTACAGTAGGTAATTATGTAGTCAGGACTGTTTACTACCACTGTACATAAGGGATAGGGCCACAGGATAAAGACTCACAATGCACAACTCAAGAGACAGCGATCAAAGTCACGGTCTTCAATTCAGGCACGGTCGATACACAGGGTCATCAATCAGAACAGGCAGACAAATCCAATGGGCTAAGGCTAAACTATTGGTCAAAAAACTACGGGTCAAAAGCACACCAGTTAGGACACGGAGAGATTGCTGGAACGTTTGTTACTAAGAAAAAAGACGAATTGGAGCACGCAGAGGACGGGAAGACAATGAGACGCAGGTGCAACACATTATGGGCGGGGTCGACAATCACAGGAGCGGGAAACACATGATGGCAGGAAGTGGAAAGCTGGAACGAGAGGAGAGGTTAGACATACACCAAAATAAAACAGGAAGTGAAATCCAAAACAAGAAAACAAGAAACAGAAACACACAACCTAACGTAGGACGGGAAATGACAATAATAGACCACTTATTAGTTGCAATGCTGACATGCACCACAGGATGGCGGCAGACCCATATCTTAGAAGCTGTACCCATGAATGTCGTCACACACCTCTGGTTCATGTGGGTGTTTTGACTTTTGCTTGATTAGATGTCTCCTCAGAAGTTTGTGGCATGCACAGAATTATAATGATAACTGGCATCCCTGCCTACTCTCCCGGTAATTTTCATCATTTGGGGGGTATTTTCTGCCTTTGTTAGAGCTGGCAGTAGATGAGGAATGACAATGCATCAAAGGTCCCCAGCTGGACACAAACTGGAGGCACTGCGGTTTTTGGTTGCGCCTTAAACCTTCTAGGCTACAAGGGTTACATTACAGAAACAATTAAGCAAATGGAAACAATCAGTGTGAAAGTTATTGATACAAAGTAATGGATATGTTCAATGACTCGATACAGAAGGAAGCTCTGGCCTGGTGGAAATACACTGTAAAATATGATATTCTTCCTTTCACACATGCCAAACACGGGGTCACAACCCCAGATACCAGGAAATATCTCTGTGGTTTGTGAGTGGCATGCTCAGTACAAGCTTAAGGTTTTAGGCAGAAGAGGTTCGACCAGTCGCTGAACGTGACAGTACTTAAACAGATATAAACACAGTAGTCATGAAGATCAACAGAGGGTGTAATCATCCTCTTAGCTTTGCCCCGGGTCTATCCTGGTTACCAGCCAATCAAAATCAGCTGATGGTCATGCCCTGAGGCCTGTTGAAATGCTCTGTTGATGAAGCCATGTTTGGACTCACAGACATCGTCAGATCAGAGGTTAATTTATATTAGGATCAGTAGAAGTACTCCTTCATCAATCTCTCATTTGTTTCCAGTAAATGGACTCAACAACAGATGGGTCACAGAATGACTTTGTCTGCATAGAACTTTTATCATCAAGTCCTCATATAATTCTACTCATTCACACTACTAATAACTGTGGTCCATTTCATAACCTTGGTACAAATGAATATACTGGTTTTACCTTATGTAAAGTATTGAAAAATAGACGAGTGGTATTTTTATATGCTCCCACATTAACATCCAAAATTTAATCAATGGAATTAATTGTAAAATCAGTCTAGCTATATAAAGGTATATAGTAAGTCTATTTCTGTCAATGATCCATTTCAGGCAACACAAGTAGGATTATTGCACTGAGCAGCACAGTCGGTGGAAAAAATAGATCGTCTTGTCTTCATTGGCTTGTCTGTATCCTAAATGAGGAGACTGTTCACTATTAGTGTGGTGTGAGACTGTAGTGGTCATCTAATTATTCTATTTTGTGTATAAAAGTAAAAGATTAAAACTTTAATTAAGCAAAAATATATAATAGCAGGACAAACCTACACTTGGAGAAGACTATAGATATCATTACGTCATATATTATGACAGAGGTAATCTCATGTGACCAGGGTTAATCCAGGAAATGAGAGTCTCATGGTTCACCACAGAGAGTCTGTGTGTAGGTGCAAGACCGCATTCATGAAAAGTTGTAGTTACAATGAGTCCCACTTCTCCTTTTGCCATGACATTTAAGAGAGCATGTTCTTTTTTGTGCCGAAATCCTTCTCAAACACAGTATAGTGTGTATAAGCACTTATCTAACTGTATTATGGGTGTTGCTGTTATTATTAGCTGATCATCCCATTATTTGGAAAAATTTAGACATGCTTACCGACTGTTCCTCAGAGGATTACAGATTGATTGCCCAACCAAAAGAAGATAAGATAATAGTAGTTCAGTTCTTTTTAGTCTCTCAAATAACAGGTATCATGTTATTTATGTCAAACTGAATTTACCAAATACATGAACCATATACACTAGAGGTTCATAGTTGCAGTGTATGTCTGCGTGTGTGTGTGTGTGTGTGTGTGTGTGTGTGTGTGTGTGTGTGTGTGTGTGTGTGTGGACTACATGTGGAAATGCTGTACATTTTTATATTGTTAGTAATATTCATAATTTTGATTTAAACTGGATTTTTAAATTCAACTCTCCTTCATTACACCTTGTCATAGACTTTTTTCTTATTGTGAGCATTTCTGCAGTAAATCACTGTAAATAGTTCTGTTAGGGTTTGGACGTGAGCAACAATGTGCATGTAGTGAACTCATAACTCCTCATGTAAGATGAGATTGTTTTTACAGTTACACCGTAACATAAGTTAATATTGATATGTTGCATGCATCATTTAAATCTTTCAGGTGATGTTCTCTGACTGTGAATGGTGCTTGTCTCGGCGCAAGTGCTGAATCTCTGAAGGTGTAATTACTGACTGAATAGCTGTTTGCCAAGAAATGCCATGTCAGGAAAATTCAAATGTAAATAAACAAATTTGCAGCATTTAAGCTTCTTTTCTTCTTGATCCTACACAGGCATGGAAGTTTTTCAAGTCTAGTTTCACAGAGGGATTAGTACCATTCGTACCGTTGTGGTCAACTGGCAGTGGCTTGTATCAGAAACTTTCTCTTGAAATCAACTTCATATTTTTTTATATGTTTTGTCTTCAGAAATGGCTGCACTGTAAAATTGCAAAATATAACACTGAAGATCCCTTTTGTTGTTTTATCTGAAACTGTCACGTGTAGTTGAGTGAATGTTGGTATCGTGGCATCTAATTTAAAAAAAATCTCTTCATCTGTATATTTGTGATGCGGATACTTTCTGTTATCTGCAGTGGTGCACTCAGTATGTGTGAATGTTCATGTATTTCTTCATAAGTCAAACATCAGACAACAAAGCTCAAAAATGTCTCTTCTTTTGTGGTCTGTATTTTTTTGAGCACGTGCTAATACAGTTTATTTGCCAGCTCTGGTGTGTGTGTGTGCTTGTTTTATTGTGCTTCTAGTCGGTTACATAAAGGTCTAATTGTTTTACAGTCTTGGGCAGGTTTGAACATAGAAGCCAGATTACAGTAAGGATTTCAACCCAACAGGATTACCTCTAGATTTAAGCACCTTATTTAGTTCCAAGCAATGAAAATCAGCCATAAGCTTGTCTGTTGAGTGTGTATATAAAGGCAACGTCTGACACCAGACTCAATCTGGTGGATAACCACGAACAGCACTACAGTTTTAATCACCGTTGCTACTTTGACTCAAAACAGGTAAGAAACTGAAATTTTACAAATTTTAAGACAATTCACCCTCTAGTTTTGGGATTTCTTTCAATTTTGTCAGAAGTTATCATCAGAAAGTGTGAGATTGTGTTCCTTATTTTCCGTCAGATACTCATGATGCTGTATGAACTTGGTGTCTGAGGAAATATTGCTGTCTATTTACCTGAAGTTACATTTGTGGATTTGCCAATTTATCACAGAATTGTTTTTTAGACTGTATTGTATTTCTCCAGCACAACTTGAGATCTGTCACATGCTGTAGTGCTACTGTTTTCTTTATCTCATGTTATATGCTTCAATATATTCATGGTGCATTTATAATATTTGTATATATCAGCTGTTGGTGGACTGAGACCCAAGCATGCAATGTTTGGTTTCAAACAATGAAAATTATATTCAAATTTGTATTCAACAATCTGGTAGAAATAATCCCACTGTTCCCCTGGCCCTGACTCTTCTTCATGATTCTGTTCTTGTCATTACAGAATGGGATCCTCTAAGCTGGCCCTGCTTCTGGTCCTGGTGTCCTGCGTAGAACACTGTCTGTCTGCCTCCTGTGTCGTTGACAGCTTCTCAGTCAAGGAGGACTTTGACCCCAAGAGGGTGAGTTAATTCAAAACACACATATGCACAAACAGCATGTGTGTTCAGAGAGAGTTTAAAACAACTTCTAACTTTCTTCCTCCATTCCTTTCCATTGCAGTATGCAGGGAAGTGGTACGCGCTGCAAAAGAAAGATCCAGAGGGCCTGTTCCTGCAGGACAACATCTCAGCCGAATACACCATCGATGACGACGGCTCCATGACTGCCTCCTCCAAGGGACGTGTAACTCTGTTTGGGTAAGTGGCCCCCGCTTTACATCAGTTAAAAAAACTCCCTCTAACCAAAGCAAAACCTGCTGGTCTCACCCCTCTTTAAATGCCCCTCAGGTTAGGGTAAAGGGTCAGTTTCTTGACTCTCTAAAAACTGGGGGAGGTGAGGGCAGCTCAAATACTCAGCTTCCAGGCTCAGAGGTCAAGAGAGGTGCTCAGGTTCTGCCCAAGGTCCACCCTAAGATTTAAGATAGACACAGGTATAATTTTCCAGAAGCACATTCTGAACAGCATTAGCTACAAGTTGGGTTTTCCCTGGATTATGAAGGATTAGGAAGAAATGCAGTTTGAAGAGGTAGGATTTTACACAGGAATGTGGGCTTGAATGCACTTTTACAAACACAGGAGATATGAACTCAAATGCTCATGACTAAAAACTTGTTTCATCATGTTACAGCTTCTGGGTCGTGTGTGCTGACATGGCTGCCCAGTACTCAGTCCCCGACCCTGCCACCCCCGGCAAGATGTTCATGAACTACCAGGGATTGGCCAGCTACCTGTCCAGTGGAGGTCAGCTGTGCACACATACACACGTTCATACATACATACATACATACTCTCATTGCTTTTCACTCTAACGTCTCCCTTTCCTTCTAACCAGGTGACAACTACTGGGTGATCGACACCGACTACGACAACTACGCCATCACCTATGCCTGCCGCACCCTGAAAGACGATGGCAGCTGTGAAGATGGCTACGCCCTTGTTTTCTCCAGGAACCCCCGTGGCCTGCCCCCCGCCATTCAGCGCATTGTGCGTCAGAAACAGGAGGAAATCTGCATGGCCGGAGAGTTTCAACCCGTCCTGCAGTCCGGAGCCTGCTAAAGAGGAAGCAGAGCGAGGGGAGCAGGAGAGCGTGCCAGCTAGCTGCAGTCTTGGTGGCTGGAAAGCAAGAACAGGGGGAATGAGAGAGTGAATGTCAGAGATATGTTGTGTATGTGAGAGTGAGAAACAAATAAAAAAAATGAAACAGAAAGACTGAGAGGAGGAAAAAAAAAACAAAAAAGTGAAGCGAGGATAAAAACTTGCACATGTCCAACCAGGATTTCAAGATTTCCAAGAATTGCATCTGTTTTTTTAAAAATCCATTTCCTCCTTGATCTCTCATGTTGTTATCGTTTGTCCAAGGAAAAAGTCACTGTTGCTCTGGTGTTTTGAGTGAATGTGAAAAGTAAAATAAGTAAAAAAATATTTTTCTAAACAGTTTATTGGGATTTTGTCTTTTTTGTTCTGTAACAAAGCTATAGTGTGCTGTTTGTATGTAAGTATGAATTCACTTATTAGTCACCTGTTCAGGCTTGAGAACATGTTGCACTTTGGCCATGTATGTGACTGTGATCCCTCCTAAGCCTGAGGAAAATGCAGCCAAACCCTACACAATACGCACTGAGCAGTAATGGGCTTACTGGTGGTCTGATGTTTCGAGCCCTTAGTCCTATTATGCCAACTCACTTAGTGTGCTCCACGGGTCAAGGATCATGTCACGAGCCTTCTGAAGCCACGTCTCGCTAACTATGCTAATGCGTTAGAAAACGCAGCAATTTGATGCCGAAATAGTCCAGTTTCATTAACTAAATAGGTGAAATGTTGTCAGGGAATGGAGAGGAGAACCAAGAAGGCTTTCAGAGTCATTGTACTTCATGAGTTCAACAGTGAGAGACAGCCAGGGAGGCAGAAAGACAAATGGAGATGATGATTTGTTTCTATAGCTGGTGTGTAATCCTGTTATGCAACAAGCTGAAGAGCAATGTGCTGAAGCCAATAATGGCCAAGCTTTGCTGTAAATCAATATAATACACCTGATGACCCGACTTCACACAGACACCTGTTTTGTTTCCTGAAGTATACATGTCAGGGGAAATAAAAAGTAACACACTTAGACACAAAATAGAGAGATTACATTTTCTTCATATACAATAGTGATCTTTCACTAAAACTACATGAAATATAATTGACATGAGTCAAATCACTTTTATCAGATTGTTGCCCTTTTGTTGACATCTCACCCTAATGCACCAAAATTGATCACAAATGTAGCTCAGTTATTATTAAACCGATACCTATCTCAGTCAGTTTAAAATCATAACATTTTCGTGAGATCATAGAAACATGAACCATGCATTTTGAAAACATTTCAGCAGTAAATGTTTGAATTGTGTTTGGAAAAAGCATCCCAGTCGTATAATGGACCTGTGTGACAGCCAATTCCCTGAGAGTGAATACGCAGGTTGGCAGGACAGTGTGTTAGGGTCACCTGGCCAAAGCAAGCTTAGCTCTGATGGGATCAGCTCGTTGGCCTTACTGGAAATGAAACCATCTGTAATTATCAAACAGCTAAACCAAAACAATGTTTTATGCTTCTGTCATGACTTCTCATGTAACAAATGTATTTTATTCTCTCTATTCTATTCAAATTCATTATAACTGATCCAGATCTGACTCAATATTTAATGGGCTCTACCCTGGTTCATGCAACATCCCTCCACTAAGTTTGCGTAATCCTGTTGACAAATAAGCAGACAGGGATGAAATCACTCTCTTGGTGGAAATAAGCATAAAAGACACCAAGATTACACAGGTGAGTGTAGGGTGCGGGGGAGGAACGTAGTAAGAGGGGTCCAACAACGCCAGATACTATTTCTAAACCTTAACTGTTTGTTAAATGGATACCAGGACGCAGGGTCATTTACTGATAAGGCAGAAATGTGTTTTTGAAAACAAAATATTTTATTAGAAACAAAAATATAAAATAACAGGGACTGGAGCTGCTGAAAAGGAAGATTATATTAAAAGGCAAATGAGAATCAAAAGAAACAAAGAATAAATCTATTTTATTCAACGTAGGATTTCTTAAAGGTGAAGCACAAGACCAGAAGATTTACAAGAAATTCACTAAAGATTACCAATACTTACTCAAATGCATAAAGTGTGGGTGACCTCAACCAGGGTGGCTAGCTTCCCAACCTCACAGCACTCAGCTACACTGAAAAAGAAAAGCTAATGCTAATGCCCCTCTGCTATGGGGCATGAATGCCCCACTATGGATGAACCAGTCTACATCTGTATGAGGAGGCAGCGCTAAAATAGAGGCATCGCAGGTAAGTGGCAAGGTGACTGATGGGTGTAAAATTATGTTTTTTTTTGTTTGTTTTTACCACTTACCTGCAGCCAATGCTTCCAGCCACACAGCAGGTGGGCTTTATAACCTGGCCCTGATGAGGTGGTCGGCTGGGGGAGGAGTCATCCCTGGGCTGTGTTCACAAGCCCTACACTACCTGAAAGCATTCACCACTACACAGGCACCACTTTGGAAGTAAAATGGAAAGAGGGTGGAAAAAGTAGTATAAATATAAATATTACATTTGTGATGCAGTCTCGCCTTCACTGCAGAGCCAAACCTGCTGTTAAAACCCAGACTGTTTTCACGTAAACAGGCTACAAGCCTGAGGTAAGAACATAAGTGGATTTATCTGCGTGAGTTTGGTGAGGCTCCAAGGCAAAACTCACACGTCTGGAAAGTCTGCCAGAGTTATGTTATTCTCGAAATGCAAACTAAACAGAACAACTCTACAAGCCTGTGTTATTCATTAACTGTATGTAACCAATGGCTTTCTTTTCATATTGTCACATTTTTGACATTTGGAGTCACTGAGGTAAAAAGGTTTTACTGACATGACAGTATCATGTCTCTGCATTCAACCAGAAATAACCCACTCTGCAGAATCATGGATGTTACTGTTTAATCTCTCTACTTCATATAAAAAGTGTCAGTGTTCATATACTATATATGAAGGTAAACAAGTGCTACCTACTGAATAAATGTTGTCTTGTTAATTACTATATTAGGATGTGCCCACTAGAGTGCAGTCAAACCATGTTGGATGTTAAACACTAAGCTTGAAAACCATTTGGCCACCGAAACTGCAAAGACTTTAGCTTTTGTTTTGAATGTTTATTTTTATGTCTCATGCTTCACTCTCATCTTTTTATGCAACCCCAACTTTTACTGGTTTTGTAGTGCATTGACTGAGCAGCTCCCGACTATAGATGGCAGATGACATCACACCCTGTGCTCTGTGAGGGGAAATGTGACGGTCCTTTGTTCCAGGAATGGGTGTGTGTATCTGCTGTAACGAGAAGAACATACAATGGGACTGATTTGTCAGCCATCCCACCGATAAACAGTATACTGATGCACTAATGTCACAAAAATGACCCTTGAATATTGCCGACACAAACTGATATGAAAATACAACTTAACGACAAACATGTCACTCTCACTGGCCGATTATTTTGTTTAAAGTAAATTTCAGGACCTGGTAAGATTTTTTTTTTTTTGCACTGTAAGTACCTGAGATAAAACTGTCTCTAATTTTATCTTTCATTATTCAAATACTTTCCACTTGAGGAAAACTGTTCCTTCAAAGGGTTTACAAAGGGCATTCTCATCTTCTAACATCGACACCCATACATTATGTCAGACGTCATTCAGTTAGCTGGCCAAGATGTAAAAGGTATATTGTTTAAATAACCATTATTATGATGAGAGGGCAGTAGTGTGAGACAGTCTCTGTCTTGTCTATTTTTCCAAATATCTACCTGTGAAATGCTCGCTAACTTTGTTAACCACCTGTCTCTGTGACTCATCTGACTTTCTGTCTCTGTTTTTTACGACTCTTTGAATCGTCTGACTCGAGCTGCTCTGCAAACAGCCGGTTTATCACAGTTGGGGGGGGGGGGGGGGGGACAAGGTGCTCATTAGGATAACCTGAGGCTGTGTTTCAGGGTCCACATTAAGTGCCACCATCCAAAGCACCATTGACTGTACAGGATCAGACATAGTCATGAAATATTTTTATTGGCTTAATGTTTAGCTCAGGAGAAGTTTCTCCTTAATGTTACATTCTTTACATTTATCATGTAGATGGTCGCCTCTGCTGTGTTTTGACAGTGCAGGGATTCGTGTTGGAGCCATTCCTCAGCACGTCATTAGCAGATAGATAAAGGGACAGAGGGTGTAGCGCAGTAAAAGATAGTAAAAGATAACTGGTGCTATTGTGTTTGAGTTTGTAGAATGATGTGAAAATCGTGAAAACCTGCTGGCTCAAATGATCTGTACAGTAATGGAATGAAATGGATTATGGACCTTTAGGAACAACCTGAAAAAGTTGTCATCAGTGGAAACCTTCCAAGCTATCTAATTCATTCTCATTGATGTGGTGGAGTCGTGCATGTGGGCCATTACATATAAAACCTAAAACCTAAAACATAAAAAATTATATTTTCAAGTTAAAATTGAGACTTTCCTCTTTTTTCATCACTTCCCTTTGGTTTCCTCCTTGCTTTTAACTTTTGTTCATGAGGATCTTTGCAATACAGTGATCCCAGTCAAAAAGGTCATGACCTTAAATTACAGGGCTGATAGAGGTCACAGTGGGGTTCATATGTCATGACACACAAAGTGTGCGCTCAGGTAGGACGCGCTTATTAAAAGATTATCAGTGCAGAGAAAAAAAAAAAATCCTAAAATGACTCAACAAAGAGCCACATCTTTATCTGTCTGTTGCTTTTTCAGCTCATGTAACCACCTGACAGATAAATCAGTGTCAGCCGGTGTCTGGATAATTTGTCTTAAAGTTTTCTCAGACACACAAATCTCAGTTACATCACCCAGTGCAGAAATACATCTCACCTCTCAGTGAATGATTTAACAACTCTCATTATAGTAATTTCCCCCTTATTTACCTCAATATTAGAAGCGTTATGTCAGGAATGTCTGTGATGAAAGACCTGAAAGGACGTTCTCTGACTGACACAGACATTACTTCACACCTAACCCCACCTAAGTTTTGACATATTATCAACAGCTCTAATTATAAGGCAACTGTCACTCCCCTTTTCATCTCTATTTTCTTTAGGTATCATCTTTCTATTTTTCATCACTGTAGCTACTTTTATCTGCAGTGTTTCCCTTTTCTTTTCTCACTTTCATCATTTGAAGTTTACATGATTCATGAAAGCGTGGGCTTGGACATCCTGATGACTGACGGGTTATGTGATAATCAGAGTAAGTGCTCATTTTCTTGATGGTAGAAAATATAATTAAATATCATTTTATGAACTCAAAGTCCCTACATGTAAACTGATACTGTTGTACAGCACAGACTTTCAGACAATTTGAAATAAATCAACAAATGTATTATTTC